GAATAAACCATAATTTGACCTTAGACCAAGGTCATGACCTAACCGGAAAGGGTCATGTTGCGTATCAGTCGATCCGTATCGTCGAGCGGAACATATCTAAGGCGTTTTCGCCGCTCTAGCACGTTTGTGTAAAAAGTTATGGTTAAAAAAAGCTGTTAGGGACCTTTCATGACCTGAGATGACCTCAGGAGCACACAGAGGGGGTCACGGGTATAATTTTCTGATTCATTGTGTCTTTTTTATCTACAAAATGATGTTTAAGAGTGTTTAGAAGGTCATGCTTCCAAAATAGACGCTTTTTTGTTTTCTCCCCTTGACTTGTAATGGAGAGGTCGCAAAATTGACGGTGACCTGACTTTAAGCCAAAAATATCAAAAATTTGGGATGAACTTTTTATACATACTAAAAGTCTTATCAATCGCTGAAAGTTTCAAAGCGGTCGTTCAGTCGTTGTAGCTACAGCGAACATGGAAACGTTCTGAGATATAGTCACTTGTTGAGTTTAGTTTATTAAAGTCGTCGTCGACGGGGACACCCCCTTTGACCCACGCATGGCGGGGGCCGGGGGGCTCTACAGAGCCCCCTCCCGTTTTTCGGCAATATCTTCTAAACTATTTCACGGATCAACACGAAACTTTCAGTAACCTCAGCGGCATCAATTTGAAACCTTGTGTTAAAATTTTAACTTTCTAGCTACCATAGTTGGGCCGGAAATGACGTCAGAGTGACGTCATATCGGCCGATTTTGATGCAAAATATTGAACTGCGGTAAACGCTCTCAAGAGCTTACTGCTTAGTTTTAAAGCTAGATCCAATTTCTTTGCGTCAGTGGACTGCAAATACATGTAGCTATCAAACTGGTATCTCGAATTTTGAAAATTTTGAAAATTTTGAAATTATGTTTGTTTTGAAAATTATGTTTTGAATTATGTTTTTACAATTACAAAAAAAAAATTACAATCACAAAAAAATAGTTTTTTGATTTTTCAAAAAGTTTTTGATGTTTCGCAAAAACCGGAATATATGTGATAGAACACACATGATAAACTACTCTAGCAAGTTTTAGCCCAATATCTTCAAAAAAAGCCAAGTTATTTGCATTATTGTCAAAATTTTACAGTTATATATTTTTCATAACCATTTTTAAGTACGTTTTTGACATCGTACAACAATATAAATGGCACCATCGTGTTCGTGAGCTCAAACTGCATCTGATAGGCACCTTTTTGTTGAAAAATTCCATTTTCAACATTTGACCTTTTCTGACCTGAAATTGACCTGACCCATTAGCGTCGCCACGGGGGGGCAAGCGGGGCAGCTTGCCCCCCCAACCTCGGACTGGGCACCCCCTGAGAGCGATACAGATCCGATGAGATTTTGGAGTCGGGAAAAATGGGGGTACCTTTCTGAGAATGCCTGTGAGGTCAGACTCAGTTGGAGCGTGCAGTTCGAACCAAAGTCTGACTCGCAGTCGCCAAAATATTCAAGACTCCGAGTCCAGACTCGGAAATGTCAATGATGTGATTCCTTCCATGTTCTAAGTTCGTTCTTTATTTCATTTACAGCTGATTTTCATAAGTCAGGGCCTTTCCCAACTCCCGTCAAATGTCTGCGACAGGCTTAAGTACCGTACAAGTGTCGCAGGGCTCATGAGCTTGCTTTAAACAAAGGCTCCTAAGGAGCTCCACTGAGCCCTAAAGAAGCTTTCAGAGGGCCCAAGGCCTCTCAAAGTCCCACTGGTGTCCATGTTCTCTGAGGGCCCATACAGGGATCTTTGAGACTTCAAACATTTCTGAGAACCTTAACTGGCCTCTGATAGTTCAGCCAAACTTTTGAGGCGACAGACTTTGCTAACCCCAAGCCGGCATCTGAGGGGTCTTAGCTCACGTGTCCCTCTGAGGGCCGCAACAAATGTTTATTATGTCCCTACATAGGGTCCTTAGGGGTTCGACACAGACCTCGAGGGTTCACACTTATCCGGGGGCTCCAGGCTCACCCTGGGCCTAGTCTCTTAGCGCCCGCCGCCCACACTGGCTGCTTCTGAGGGCCCCACCTTGGGCTCGGAAAGCCCTAAAGCACAACGTACACGTAAATATTTGAGGTGACCCACGCCGATCTCCGGGCTCCTAAGTCCTAAGCATGCTTCTGAGAGTCAGCACTGACCCTGAGTGGCCTGAAATGGCCTGGAAGTCCCAAACCTATCTCTAAGGGATCCCTTGCCGCTATGCCGTGCGTAACTTTTGGTTCCGTTTAACATTTTTGTTCGCGTTTGCAGCGCTTCCCTTCACACGAAAAAACTTTTGTTCACACTCGAGTGAACAAAACACTCCCTCTCACTGGAGCAAAGATGAATTACTTCCGATTCACACTTCCGACATTCACTCTCTGCCGAATGCCCAATTTAGCTACGATCGACGGCTGGGATAAGTCCTATGCATTTCACGTAAAACCTCTGCATGCATGCGTGAATGGAGGTTTTAGCAGGGTGATCCGATTAAATGGAACATTTTTCACCTTTTTCTGGGTAATGATCATGAGCGTCGAGCGTCTGCACAGGGGCCCTCTGCAGTGCGTCGGCAATCGCAGCCACTATATAGTTACTATAATTCTACCAGTCGTTTTTGCCATGAAATTTCAAAATTTCGAATTTTTCTGTAAAAAAGTACATGTAATAGCTAGAAGGAAACCTTTGTCACCATCGGATTCCTTGCACCATTGCGCGTCGAATGATGTGTAAAACAAGTGAGTTAAGACTGGGGAAAGGCAAGTTTTAACACAAAAGTTGATTTTGCCCCCCCAACCGAAAATCTCTGGCGACGCCTATGACCTGACCACCGGTAAATTCAGCTGAAAATTCAGCGAGGGTGTTCAGACACCCTCGGCCCGGCACGAAACAAAAATCGTGCAAGAAAATTTTCCCCATTGACGTTTTTGTGTAAGTCAATTGATGTAACATCGCAAAAAACGTTAGCGGCTATCCAATGTTTTTCAATTCTTTTTCTTAGACAATACAGTTCATGCGGTCCACAAGAAACGGGTTACATTGAAATGCAAAAGCCGATTTCACTATGCTCTGAAAGAAGGAATGCTAATACAACCTGTGCTGTGGGCGTTTTGGGCATTACCAACCAGGAACTTGAATGAAGAACTTCATTGAAAAAATTTAATTAATGTCCAATCAAAATATTTTGGTTACATAACCATTAACCTCGTTCTCGTTTTCTAAGATTAGCTAAATAGCGGATCAACGGATCTCCTACGAAGATCTTTGCTCACAAATATTTGCTGGCCAAACTGTCCACATTGGGGTCTGTCCGAACTGGAAACTCGTGATAGGCTGCTGCTAAGAGTAACGGCTGCAGAAGCTGAGCTCGACTTCGATCGATTTTTAGGAGGTAGCCTTCAGCTGTCGGCAGAAATTCGTAGATTCTGAAGCTGTCCAATCAGTCGTGCAAGATGCAATCAAAGTAATTTATATCAAAGATGCCCACTGTCTTAAAGGTCGTCCCGCCCTAGCTACATCTCCTCTCGAATAAACCACATCGTATCACGCAGATCTTTAGATCTGTTTTGGATAGCTCCTAGGAATTAAAATGTGAAACAATTTAAATTGCTGGATGCGCGTTTTACAATTGTAAAGTTGGTTTAACCGCGCCGGGCCGAGGGAGGGGGTGTTTGGACATCCCCAGTTCTATTCCTTGCAACTATAAAAAACGACGCTTTCAAGGTCAGTTCACCAGGTCACGTCATGTGACCTTACCTCAGATAAAGTTCTAATGCCCGCCACAGCCACACTGACTGAATGATGGCTTTGAAACTTTCAGGGATTGATGAGAGCAGCAGTATGTATAAAACCTATATCTAGGAATTTTGATATCGGTGACCTAGGGTCAGGTCAGTTTTGCGACCTCTCCATCATAAGTCAATGGGAGAAGATTGAAAGGCGCCTCTTTTGGACGAACGTCATTCCAAACACTCTCAAGCATCGGGTTACAGGTAAAATTGACAAGCTGAACCGAAAAATGGCACCCGTGACCTCTTCTTATGTCCCTGGGGTCATATCAGTTCATGAAGTTCCCCAGCAGTTTTTTTACAATAACTTTTGATAGAGACATGCTAGAGCGATGAAAACATCTCAGATGTATTCAGCTCGACGATACGGATCGACTGATATGGAACATGACCTTTCCCGGTCAGGTCATAACCTTGACCTGGGATCAAATTATGAAAATGGCCTATCAAGGTTAAATTGTATATCATGTTTACATCTTAACCTGTATTGTGTGTATGTACTATTTGACTCTTGTTCTGAAAAGCCATGAATGTGGATGAACATATGAATACATGATGATGATGATGATTGTCTCGTCTCGACGAATCTCGACGAGAGGAACACGATGCGGGTAAAAATAATGTGCTAGTTTTGAGCCAAAAGCAAAAAATGTTGAAATCGCCGAGACGTGATTTTTAATGACCTCTGGTGACTAGACCTTTAACCTGGCCTTGAATCGACTTTTGAAGCTCTGCGTCGTTTGACCTGCCTATCTAAATCTATATTCAGCCACCTGGAAACTGGAGAGAGAGGGTCACGCTAGACCGTGCTAGGGAGGACCGTGCCGCCATATACGTCAATACATTCAATTTTCGATCAAAATTATTGCCGGTGAAGCGAAATTTCTTTTTAGAAACCGTCAGTCACTCGCACGATGGAACATACCCCAGTCGTGCACGTTTTAACATGTAAATAAATGGACTAACTTGAAGGGCTCTGTGCTGAAAATTGGGAATGACGAGTGAGAAAAAAATCAATGCCATAAATGTCACTACGAGTGATTGGTTCATTACAAGAAGAGTGCCTAAAGTTGTCAGATAGGTATTGAGGGTACCTGCCGATGGCACCAGGCAGTTCCCCAGGCCCCAGCCGACGGCAGTGTGCCGAACTCGCCAGCAGTGTGCGGCCCCGCGCTGCTGGCCGGCTGACCGTCCGCGCTGGCCGACAGGGAGCGGCCCCGGCGGCCGCGAGGAGGCAGACGTCGAGGACATCCACGACCGGCTCGACTACGAGGGCGGCGCCGACGAGGCCGCTCTCCCCGCCGACGAGGTCGACGACGACGTGGACGAGGACGACGCCGGCCGCCGGCTGCTGCGGCTCATCCAGGAGCGGCAGAAGCGGCGCCGGGAGGACGACCAGCCGCGGCCGGCGGCCCGCTCCGCCAGCCCGCGCCGCGGCCGCGACCGGCGCTCCCGCTCTCCGGAGACGCGGGCCGTGCGCACCGTCCGAGCCATCCGCTCGCGCTCCGGGTCGGCGGGCAAGGCCGGCCGGCAGCACCAGCCGGCCAGCTCGCCGGAGAAAGGTGAGGCGGACGCGCCGGCCGCCCGCTCCGACGGCGGCGGCGGCTCGCGGCCCAAATCCTCCCCGTCGCGCAAACACTCCACCTCCGGCGAGCGGCGCTCCCGGTCACGTGATCGTCGCTCGCGTTCTCGGTCACGTGATCGTCGCTCGCGCTCGCGAGGACGCCGCCGCCGCTCCCGGTCGCGGGACCGCGGCGCGCGGCGCTCGAGGGAACGGCTGTCACGATCCCGTCGCTCGCGCTCTCGGAACCGTCGGCGCTCGCGTTCACGTGACCGCCGCTCGCGCTCTCGAGACCGCCGCTCGCGTTCACGAGACCGCCGCTCGCGCTCTCGAGACCGTCGCTCGCGCTCTCGAGACCGTCGCTCGCGCTCTCGTGGCCGTCGCTCGCGCTCAAACGATGGACGTCGCCACGGAAAACACTAGAGTGGCTCGCGTGCGTGACTCCAGCGGTTCGAATTGACTTTATGCTGCCAATCAACCAGTCTGCGTTTCACGTTTCAGGATAAAGTATGTGTGGGTCAGGAGGTGACCGTTTATCGGTTTATCGGTGTCACTGACACGGCGGTGTCAGGCTGGAACAGGAGTACACGTGGCGTCAGTGTCAGAATTTTCGATCCTTGCAGTGGGAGGGTACGTAGTGAGCCGGAGGGCGTTTGTGTCAGTGGACCGCGCGGCGAGGTCCGTGCCCCCAGGCCAGCTCGGCGCGGCCGCCCATTTCCGATACCGGCCGGCGTGCGCGTGTCTCCGGTTTTGCCGAGCACTTCCCCGGGTGTTTCACGTCAATAAACGCACGATCGCCAGTACCATGTATTGTGTCATCTCTTAACGATTCAACTGGGTTACCGCGAGGTAGGACCGGGTGTGGAATGTGGATGGAGTTTTTTTTTTCATCTGCATAATATAGTCGCAATGACCCGATGTGAGACGGGTCCTCAACTAATGTTGATTGTTTAGGTGGTTTGGCAGTCTTTTCGCATTGCGTACCTTCATTATATCGCTGGCCAAGGATTTTTATTTTTAGTGTTTGCCGAGCGTAGCGAAGCAAATGCTGTTCGGGCGCCGGCAGAGGACCCATTACCTTTAAATAGGCCGGCAGAGGAACCATTACCTTTAGTTAGCATGACGTTACAATCGTCTTTGATACGGACCATCGTCGGCCACCTCGGTGAATCGTTCTGCCTTCAATCGCATCCCGCTTCGTGGCAGGTATATATCAGGCAGGTATATCGTGGCAGGCAGGTATATGATCAGGGCTGCAAAGGACGCGCTAAAATGACTCTCCTTCGCCCCTCGCCACTGGGTGTTCGCCTTGGGCGGCCCCCACGCTGCAGGTCAATGTCATGTAACCGCTGCCGATCAGCCGATCAGACGTGTCGCGCGTGCCCGTGGGGTATCGCGTGACACATTGCACATGCCGGAGCGGCCGCGCTGTCCGGTGTGCCGGCGCGCGTCCGGCAGGTGACGAGTGGCGGTCCGTCCCCCCGTCACGCCGGGCCCGCCAGGAGCGGCTTTTTGTGACCGCAGGCCGCGAGTAGCCGTCGGTCGGGGAGCCGCCGCCGCTGGCCGCTGCTGCTCGCGGTCACCCCATGTGACATTGTAGGAGGATGTGTTCTTTACAAGGCGCTCCTATGAGCGAGGTCGTGCTGGTATGTGTTTGTACTCTGGTTCTCTGTTTTGGTGTCGTTGAACTTATCCTACGTGATGCCAGCATTGAATGCCAATCTATCTTGCATCATGGGATTTTCCAGCCGTCCGGAAGCAGTTCTGGTTCATCTTATTTTCAAGTTTGATTATGCCTGAAATTAATGGATGGTAACTAACGACTTTTGTTCTTGTAATCACAAAATTTGCATGCGACGTATCGGGGCAACTATCAACCCTCATGTAGCAATGTCTGCTCGAATGTACTCATATGTTCGTCTCGCATTCGCTTCCGGCTTCCGTTCTTACAACTGGGGAACTACCCTGCTCTTTGCGAAAAGTAGCATGCGTAGCCTCACGGACTCTTTATAACTTTTTTCGGTCCCTTTAACCCTCGCCGGACCTATTGGTTTTCTACATACGCGCCGGCCGGGGGGGGGGGGGGGGTACGACCTTCCCTCGCCCCCTGGTGGAGCTAGCGCGTCGCGGAAAAAACGAGCGTGTGCGCCGTTACGAGACGCAGAGATTGATACCCGATTTTAAGGTCCTAGGTCAACCGGTGACCTCTGAGGTCAGGTCAAGTGCCCCAAGGTACGGTTCAGTTTTTGGTGAATAACTTCGAAAAAAAGGGCCGCAGAGCGCCGATTTTGGCAGCATCGTGCTCGCCTCGCTCAGGCGCGTCGAATGATACTTTTTGTTTGGGTCAGGTCAACTTAGGGTGTTGACCTCAGGTCACGGTCAGGTCAGCGCCCTCAGGTCACGAAGTTGGTCAAAAGAGGTCATGTCGCATATCATTCGATTCGGCAGGTCTTCCTGAGTCCATTGGTGGCTTTCCCGACTCGCTAGCTCAATTTGATCGGGAGTTATTGACAATAACTAATATGACCTTGTTGGCGTCATAAATGACGTCACAAAAGGTCAACATTGCAAAAGTGACGCATCTAACCTCGCAAGGAGTGCATCAAATCACGATTCTGTGTGCTTGAGATAGTCAGAGATCGTTCCCGGCGCCAGAATAGCAGTTTTCATTTTTGCCCATTGACTTATAATGGTGAGGTCACGAAAATGGCCTGACCTCATATGACCTTTAGGAAAAATCCAAGATATACAAGTTGTGAGACTCGTAATGGATACTAGATCCTGCAAGTTTCATTTCCCTGTGAAAGCTCCTCTGGCAGTGAGGGCGTTGCGAAGCTGCCACATCTGAGTACACATCTGAGTACGTACCGTGCAGAGGTTCACTTATGACGCCGTAGGTCAGTGACCTGACCTGACCCGAAAATGCGGTTGGTGTCAAAAGATCCGGCTTGAATCATAGGTCAGGTATGCCAAGTTTCAGCTCTCTATCGCCAGCGTGTTTTCGGAGCTATCGCGAAAAAAAAACCTATGGGGTTTCCCCCCCCCCCCCTCCCCCTCGGCCGGCGAGGGTTAAATGCCTTAATAGCATCCAAATGTCAGCTCTTTGGCGTGGATACCGATTGGCTATAATGCTTTCTGGTTACACTCGGTCGAACGTCCTTGCCTCTCCATCAGGTAGATAGTCACGTTCATGGTAAATAGAGTTGTATTCATATGCATACACAATTCAAGCAACACATAATTTACAGCCAAATCGGCGAATGCCCATGTCAGTATTGTCTTTCATGGGTAGGGGGAGGGGAGGGGGTCGGCTGTCGCGCTGGCCCGGTGACCGGTCAGCGCGCGGCGGCTCGCGGACGTCAGGTGCTGCCGGCCGGCTGCTGGTCCGGCCACGGGTCGTTGATGTGCGGCATGCGGCAGCACACGCCGTCGCCAACGCCGCCGTCCTTGAGCCGGTAGCAGCGCAGCAGTGCCACGGTCGGCTGGCCAGACGGCCCGGTCGGCTCGCGCAGCAGGCCGCCGCGCACAAAGCCCGTGTACGGGTTACACATGGCCTCAGGCACGCACACCATCGAGGCCGAGCAGGCGCCCACGAATACTCCCATGGGGCCGGAGCCGCCGGTGCCCGGGTTGCGGTTCAGCGCGATGTCCTGTTTGTAGTTGAACTGGGTGAAGCGGGCCGGTACCGTGGAGCCGGCGGCGGGCAGCGGCCGGGGCCGCGGCGCCGGACTGCTGGGCACCTGCAGCTGCTGCACCACGGGCTGCAGCAGCTGCTGCTGGACGGGCCGACTGGCGCTCACCTCGACTCCCCTCTGGGGTGGGATGTAGGTGCCGGGCGGCGGCGGAGGCGGCGGCGGCGGCACGTACCCGTAGCCGAGCGGCTCGGCGAGCGCCGCCGACAGCAGCGCGGTCAGACTCAGGAGGCGCCACATGCTGCTGCTGCTGCTGAGCTGGGTGTGGACGGACGCTGTCACCGGTGGTCGCCGACTGCCGCCGTGCCGGCCGCCGCCAGCCTTATATCGGCGCGCCGCACAGCCAGCCTCGCTCAGTTCCGTCCAGCCGTCAATCCTGTCCGACACATCCGGAGATTAAGACATCCCAGCTCAGATTAGATTATTTACCAGCAGGGGAGATGGCTGGCCGAAGGCGTATGATCACTTCACTCGGACATTAGAGACGCATCATTTGTTCGGACTGCATTTTGCGCAGATTCCGTAAACTCGGATGATGGCGTCGGATAGCGGCGGATGATGCGTCATTTATCTATTTATTCATTAATTTATTTATTGTTGATGGACCGGGTAATCCCGAAGCATGCGAAGCTCAGGTCAGTGACACTGTTGGCTGCGACAATATGTGGGCACAATCCGTTCCGAAACCACAACACAAATCGTGAACGGATGAACGGTTTGACACATTTGAGAAATATAGCGTATCAAGTTACGACCATTGCATTGTTGCTCCGTTCCTAATGACTTACAAAACAATCCGTTCTTCCGGTACTCTCGTCTGCTGGCTACCTCTCCAGACGGGCTAGCCTAGCAATTAGTCCCCAAGATATTGCTGTTGCGGCAAATTATCGGGTTATGCTTTTCCAATGGTTTATCTGAGCTTTAGCTGTCCCCCGCAATAAAGCGGCGGCTCTCTGCCGAGACAGCGAGTCGCCAACTATACGCACCGAGACAGCGAGTCGCCAACTAAACGCACCGAGACAGCGAGTCGCCAACTAAACGCACCGAGACAGCGAGTCGCCAACTAAACGCACCGAGACAGCGAGTCGCCAACTAAACGCACCGAGACAGCGAGTCGCCAACTAAACGCACCGATACAGCGAGTCACCAACTAAACCCAGATAGACAGCGAGTCTTTAACTAAACCCAGATAGACAGCGAGTCCTAAACTAAACCGAGAGAGACAGCGAGTCCTTAACTAAACCCAGAGAAACAGCGAGTCCTTAACTAAACGCACCGAGACAGCGAGTCGCTAAAGTAACCCAGAGAGGCAGCGAGTCGCCATCTAAACGCACCGAGACAGCGAGTCTTAAACTAAACCCAGAGAGACAGCCAGTCATTAACTAAACCCAGAGAGACAGCGAGCCCTTAACTAAACCCACAGAGACAGCGAGCCCTTAACTAAATCCAGAGAGACAGCGAGTCTTTAACTAAACCCACCGAGATAGCGAGTCCCCAATTAAACTCGCCGAAGCTTTTAAGTTGGCGGCTTGCTGCATCGGAGGGCTCAGTAAGCTGCCCGCTGTCATGGCCTCATTAATGTGTGACATGCAGCCATTGGTGTTTTGTTATGTAACTGATAATCAGTCGAGTAACTTCCTGTACAATTTTGCGGAAGAGCAACGGAACGAGTAACGGCAGGCGCGTTTTGGAGGAGCGGAGGGACGACAAACGATCAAGTAGATGTGAGTGCTGCTGCCTACTTGCTACGCCATTTGAACAATTGCATCTACATACAGTCAACACCCTCGAAATAAAAGAGGATCCACGAAAATATCACACTTTTTATGAACCATTTGCCCACACTTCAGCTCGTATGTGCCATTGAGTATCGAGTCATTATCGTGGCCAGGGCAGAACAGCCGACAAGTCTGGTGCGGATAATTCGAGCATCTTACCGTAGATGAGTTAGATGGCAGCAAGCTGTTCTGATTTGGTTACCTCCGTGTGCGTGTGTCTATCAAAATGGATCTAGCACGGAATCGATCACGGTGGATTTCGGTACCTACTATCACCGGCGCCTTTACTTCCGCGTGCGCGCACCACAGTCAGACCTGAGCTCGCCGCCATCCCCGCCGCCACGGTCACCCCTCCCCCACCGTCACCCGCACCGTCCCCGCCATCACCCCCATCGCCCCCAGTGGTCCCCACCGTCCCCCACGGTCACCCCCCATCCCCCACCCACAGAACCGCCGTCCCCACCTCCCCAGGGTGACCAGGCGGCGCCGAGTGGTGGGCGCCGTATCTTCCAGGGTCGCCGGTCACCACCTCACTGGGTAGGTACTTTATCCATGCGGAGCACGCCGCCCGGCACCATCGGTCATCAATCGCCGAGTGCGCTGCTATTTAGACCAGTGTCGGGCCAGCAAAAACCACCAGCTTGCTAATGCGAGGTGACATCAGACAAATTGGCGACCAGCAAGTGCGCGAGAAAAAAGCACAAGCATTCATGTCTGACGAGACTTGAGAGGGATCTTACAACTTGCGACGAATGTCGTGGTGGGAAATCACGAGAAACCGAAGCGAAAAGACGGATGAAGATTCAATTAGGTACCTTCACAATGCTTTGATAAGACGGATGGATTGTGGAAAATTGTAGACGATGTAAGAATCTCCTCTACGGCAGTGAACATAACACGGGGCCTGTAGCAGCCTGGTACCTATACCTATACATAAGGCGTTGGTAGCCTGTAGTGATAAACTGTAAACATATATGCATGTCTGGCTACACCCTGCCGTCCGATATTCAGCCCAGATCTAGCACAGGTTCGAGACCCCCGGATCCACTGGAAACTTGCTCACAGCATAACCCTCGAGGTGTGGTCATCCCAAACCATTCGGTGTCGCTCTTAGCTGTTGGACCTACAGAGGTCGACAAAGGTCGCGGCGCAGCCCCCGAATTTGGATAGATAAGAATCATAAAATTTGTTCGACCCGTCTGGACGAGCGAAACGATGCTGGTGAAACGGATGCTTATTGCTTGCGTAAGTTTTTGTTCTCTGGAATCCCAATTCCCAACCGTCAACCCCGATGCGTCTCGACGAAAGAAACGCGATGCCGGCAAAATTAACATACCTTATACGGGTTCGGTATGAATAGTTATTGCAGAAAAACGAGCTTCGCTTCACCGTCACTAATATTGAGTTTTTGCTCTCTGGAGGCTAAACCGTTGACCCTACAGTTGAAATCCGAGGACAATAGTTACTCGGTAGGTACGCAGAAACAGCTGGGGCATTCCACGATAGATCGTACCAGGCCCGTCACCCTCATCTCTCAGATTTTAATGAAAATCGGTCCTAACTCCTAGGGGTAATCATGGGCCCCAAAGACGCCTGGCAAAATATCAGACTTCTAAGATCAAAACTTTTTGAGTTATATTGCATTACATTTTTTTAACTTCGGTTTGTAACGGTGAGTTTGATGGCCTATAACTCAAGAACGGGTTATGCAACCAACAAACGGGAAACAACACTAAGCTTGCGATGAACCAAAAATTGATATTACTTTCTAAAAATTATAAAGAAAAATTTTGATTGCTGAACAAAAACCTTAATCTTTTTTCATTTGCCTCTAATGACTTTTGGGACCAAAATTTTTCACATTTTTATTTTTTCAAAATAAAATTCATGTCATTGCAAATCGACATGCAAAAAATTAGAAAGGAGGGGTTGATACGACCCCAGCACGCCGTTTTGCTTCTAATAGCGGTAGAGCCTCGCGGAAAAAAACGAACGTGTGTGCCGTTACAAGTCGCAGCGATTGGTACCCAATTTTAAGGTCTCAGGTTAACCGGTAGCGTCTGAGGTCAGGTCAAGTGACTGAAGTTACGGGTTCGGTTTTTAGTGAATAACTTCGCAAAAAATGGCCGCAGAGCCGCGATTTTGGCATCATTGTGTTCGCCTAGCTCAGGTGCGTCGAATGGTATGCTTTTTGTTAGGGTGAGGTCAACTTAAGTAGTTGACCTCGGGTCAAGGTCAGGTCAGAGCCCCTCAGGTCACGAAGCTGGGCAAAGGGTATCATATGGCATATCATTCGATTCGGAAGGTCTTCCCGAGTCTATTGGTGGCTTTCCCGACTCTCTAGCTCAATTTGATCGGGAGTTATTGACGAAAAACTCGTACGACCCTAGTGACGTCATAAATGACGTCACGCAAGGTTAACAATGCAAAAGTGAAACATTGGACTTTGCAAGGAGTGCATGAAATCACGATACCATGTACGTGAGATAGTTTTAGATCATTATCGGCGCCAAAATAACATATTCTATATTTCCCCATTGACTTATAACAGTGATGTCACGTGACTCATGTGACCTTCAAAAATTCCCAGATATATAAGTTGTGAGACCTCTGGAGGACACCATGTATGCGTCTTGTAACTTTTATCTCGGACAGCTATAGTCATTGGCGTCCAAAACAATGTCAGAACCAAACAGCCTTTTTCACTCTCGCGCTTATAGGAAAGAGGGTTGGATGAACCCTCTTTTCATTTTTTCAGATGACTAAGACTTCAATTGAAATTTCAGTAACCCGTGATGTCACTAGGCAGCTTTACCACGCCATTTGTAAGCTCCCCTCCCAAAATCACTATTCGAAACCGTTATCGTGACGTAAAATAAATACATTTATAGAAAGAACACCTTCCTAATTTTTTGCACACTTCTTAACAATGAGCTAAATATCTTTTTAAAGAAATAAAAATTCAAAAAAATTTGGTCCCAAAGTCTAAAAAATACAAATGAAAGAAAACTCGATATGTCATATATCAAAAAAAGCGTATTTTTCGAAATTTCAAAAATACATATTAATCTCTGTTTCATTGCAAGTTCAATGTTATCTAACATTTGGCATTTGAATAATCCGTCTTAGAGTTACAGCCCGCCAAACTTAGCGCTGCAAAGCAAGATCCAAAAAATGTTATACGCCATAACTCAAAAAATACTTATCTGATAAGCCTGAAATTGTTACAGGTAGATTCAGAGCCCCTGATTACCCCTGAGACCAATTTTCGTCAAATTCCGAGAGATGAGGGTGTCAAATTGGAAAAAAGTGGTACGATCTATCGTGGAATGCCCCAGCTTTGAAACAGCTATCGACTGCGCTTTTCCACCGTGCTGTAGCTGTATTAGTTCCCGCGCCCTTTTGTGAAGAAAAAATCTCCAAATGGGGGGGGGGGGGAAATTCGTGATATTTTATCTTCTGTGACTTCCAGTGACCTCATCGAACCCTCGTCACCCGATCGAAAAATGACCTTGATGATTCTGAATATTATAGCGAGCTATCTATTGTCTTTTCCGCGTCTTTCTAGCTTTCTATTTTCCGAGATAACCTGGTGTGGCCAAATACGATGGTAGGTGGCCTAAATGCTGAGTTAGAATCGGCGTTTTGTGCCTCCCCCTTGCCTTTTTGTTTTACGATGATAAGGTCTGCAACATTCTTAATCGTCGCCACGAAGCAAGCAAACCAATCGGTAGTTTCAGGATCTCGTATTGAGGCAAGCACAGTCACCAAGGAACTCAACGACGAAGCACGATCGCTGCCCTGGAGCATATCACATATAAATACAAGCACTGTCTCTGCTTGGCCCGCTCACGCCGCTGTTAGCATCTTCTTCGCCGCCTTGTGAATGTTGGCGTCCATTTTATCTGAAAAAAAAGGAGCCGTGTTATAACAAGCACCAGACTAGGCCTGTCGGTCTCGAGTTACTACAGCTGCCGACTACGGTCGGTCTCAGAGTCGGAGCTGGAGGCGAGGAAAGGCGCAGTTCACGTTACACAACTACTGCAGTGAAGTAGGTACCGGGAGTTACCGAACAGACGAACGCTCTTTTTTTAATTCTCTAAAATGTCTTCAAGTTATAACATCAATACAATTATTTGATCAACGGAAAGCCATTGCGATGCTATTTTGTTTAATGCTAGTTAAACTTACTTCGGACTATGTAGCCATGTAAAAAAGGCATACAGTCAAGCTACTACATTTGTACTTCAAGACGGAAATATGTTGTGGTGGCCGACAAGAAATTTGGAGAGGTTTCAAACTCGTAAAAAGCACCACTAATAATTGTAGTTTGGGCTCATATGGCCATTTTCAATAAGAGAAAGCGTCACAAGCCTATAAAGAGGCGAGAATTAGTGGTCTACGGTGAACCCAGGGGACACGTCCTGGGAGGCTACGAGATTCGGATCATTTTGGTTTGAGAATAAGAAGGACGGGAGTGATACGATGAAGGCCCAGCGGTAGATAGCAGTGCTGTTACAGATCAGGTTTTGGACGGCGCTAAAGGAGAACCTGGGAGGTGATGTCCGGCTGATAGAGAGCCAGTGGATTCAGCAGGACCGAGCCACCGTTCAAACGGCCGTCGCAGCCCGTGACTGGCTGCGACGCGCTTCGGGCAGCGGCTGTCCTCCCGGCTGGAGGTGAGCCCATGGCCCGGGCATTATCCGGAACTCAACACCCTTATATTAATTATTTGGGGGATTCTGAAGATATAAGTGCACCGAGTAAGAAAACCAGCAATCAGCTGGGCAAATCAGCTAAGTGAGCTAAGTTCGGGACATGCGACCGGAGCTCTGCCGCGAGGAGGTGGCACAAGTGACGCAGCGTCCGTCTTTGTGACTGGGACGCTTTGGTAGTCTTATGGAAAATGTGCTGCACGGACGGCACCGAGCATGCAAATCGGTCATTAGTACCATACCACAAAATAACAGTGAATACACTATCGTTTGGTGTGACTTTTATATTTATCGGGTTTATTGTTTTCACAATATATGAATTTTGAATACGTCTGCTTTTTGGGGAACCCCGGGTACTGTTCATGCTCGCTTTCCCTGGCTAAATCGTTAAGTCACCATCGTAGCATTTTGTCCCAGTAGTTCGATGAATGAACAGGTTCGTGCCGCTGGTCGACGGCGGCGATTCTGCCAGCACTCACAGATTTTGTGCTGTCCTTTCATGGGAAACTTGACGACCAGCTGCTCGGGCTCGCTGCAGATGAGCACGTACGGGCTGTCGCTCTCGCCCTCCGGAAACTGTTCCCTGAGGGGCCAGAGAGGCTGCCGTCAGCAGGGCGTGAGCCGGGTGAGGCCAGCTGTCAGATGGGGCGGGAGCCGGGTGAGGGCAGCTGTCAGATGGGGCGGGAGCCGGGTCAGGGGCAGATGTCAGTAGGGCGGGAGCCGGGTGAGGGCAGCTGTCAGTAGGGGCGGGAGCCGGGTCAGGGCAGCTGTCAGTAGGGGCGGACGCTGGGTGAGGGCAGCTGTCAGAGGGCAGCTGTCAGCAGGGGTGGGAGTCGGGTCAGGGCAGCTGTCAGTAGGGGCGGACGATGGGAGAGAGCAGCTGTCGGCAGGGCGGGAGCCGGGTGAGGACAGCTGTCAGCAGGGGCGGGAGCCGAGTGAGGCCAGCTGTCGGTAGGGGCGGGAGCCGGGTCAGGGCAGCTGTCAGCAGGGCGAGGGGCTGTCGTCAAACGTCGACCGGGCGAGGGGCAGCGCCAGCCGGCACTAGTGCGGGTGAGCGCAAGGCGAGGGGCTGTCGGCAGGGTCAGCGCAAGGCCGCCCGTCTCTTCGGGGGCGCCGGAAAAATGTAATGTTACTTGATGCCGGCCCAAAACCGACAGCTGACCGCCACGCCACCATTCAGTAGCCGCCGTGTACAGATAGCACGGTCAGACTGCCGTCGCACGCACTGCGTCCCGGAGCGTGGTGTCACGTGCCGACCACCCGCGCCTCCTCACCTGTACACCTCCTGCGGCAGAAGGTGTACAGCCATCCGCCCCTGCTCACCTGTACACCTCCTGTGGCAGGCAGTTGAGGACGTTCACCCTGCCCAGCAGGCAGCCGGACGGGTAAAACTCGGGAAACGACAGCTCCCTTCCTGACAAACGCAGCACAATATGTCAGGAAACGGCAGGGCGACATCGGTGCTAAATGGCATTGTATGTAATACTTCTGGTTAAGAAAGTTATAATTCCAGTCTTGGCTGGTACGTAGTAGGTACTGCCGACTTTATAACACAGTAAGACGCCGTTTGTTCAATGTATCTGGTCTCCTGCCTGTCTGTCCCAGCGGCCTTCCGTCTGTCCTGCGGCCCTGCCTCAGCCCTGTCTGGCAGTGTCCCGCAGCAGCCCTCACCCCCCCCCCGCCGTCTGTTTCGCGGCCCCCACCGGCCGTCCCCGCGTCGGCCGCCCGTCGGCCGCTCACCTGCCATGACCCGATAGGTGTCCTCCACCTGTTTGATCTCCTGCGGCGTGGGCACCTTGGCGGCAGCGGCGATCCACAGCCGGCCGCGGTAGGGCGTGTACCACGTGCGACCCTCGTGGCTGCCGACACCGCCCGGTCAGGTCAGGGACACTGAACATCGCAGTCAGTCGCGGCAGGACGGGAGGGCGCAGGTCCCTCAGTCGAATCAGTGCACCGTCAGGTCAGCTGTACGAGTGTGAGATTCATTGGTACGATCTGACCTGGCCAACCACTTCCCACGGGTTTAACAGAACACGTTTGTCGCGTGCCAGTTCCAAGCTCACATTGGAGGCTGGCGGCTCTCTGGGGACAGAGTGGCGACCCAGCGCAGGAAACGGTCCACGACCGTCATAAGGGTCCAAAAATACGCAAAAGCAACAGATGTCAGTGAGTTTCACACTTCTAGGGGCTACGGTTCTCAGAATAACAACAGCGCGCCCCCCGGACAGGGGACTGGTGACCCAGGCACGGGCGAGGCGGGCTCACATTTTGATGCCGGCGACGAGAAGCGACGCCCAGGGCTGGTGCATGCTGAGGCACATGCCGTCGTCGGAGAGCAGCTGTAGGTCGGCGTCCTGTACGCGCCGCAGCTGGGAGTCGGGCCGCTGGCGGAACAGCCGGTCCACGTCGGCCTCGCGGCGCGGGTCCACCTGGTACTGCGAGGGGGCACAGAGGACGGTCAGCGCACCGTCCCAGCAGCAGACAGACAGACAAACACAGCCAGACACCAATCGGTCACAGACAGACACTGACGTCAGCCTCGCGGCGCGGGTCCACCTGGTACTGCCGGCGGACACAGAGGACTGTCAGCACCGCCCCACCTCCCAGCGCGGATCCACCTGATACGGCCAGCGGGCACAGCGACCGGTCAGCGCACCGGCCCAGTCAGATAGACACTGGCCGGTCCACGTCAGCCTCCCTGGTGTTGCGGGCGGGCACAGCGGCCGGTCACAACCCAGATGCCGTACACATCGTAGAGATAACCTACATATTACACTGTTCCTGTAACTCTATTCGTCTTTTATCGGAGAAAGAGTAGATTCAGAACCCGTGACAAAGTTTAGTTCCCTGAACTTACATAACGTGACCTCCCAGGACGGGTCAGGACGGGAGGGAGCAGGCGAGGGGTCCGGTCGGGTGGGAGCCGGGGCGGGGTCAGGACGGTGGGTCCGGGCGGGTCAGGACGGGTGGAGGCTGGGTCTGGTGAGACCTGGGGTGGAGTCGGGTCAGCGGCTCACCTCCGGCCGGAACGCCGGCTCGGCGGACCGCCCGGCGCCGTCGGCCGGCGGGTCGGCGGCCGGTCGGCGCAGCTCGTCCGTGGCCAGCTCGCGGATCAGTTCCGTGATGTGCGCCGGGTCGGCGGCCACCTCCACCTCCTGGGCCGTCATCTGGCGACCTGTTAACGGGGCAGAGGGGCGTCACTGGGGGAATCACCGGGCCGTCACCCAGCGACCTGTTACCGGGGGGGGGGGGGCAGAGGGGCGTCACTGGGGGAGCGATCGCAGACTTTCATAGAAGCAACGCTTCCTCCCTCCCAGCTGCTGGTCCACGACAGCTACAGCGTACAACAGGAGCTTCGTTCAGCATGCAGTATATAAACAACACGATGGGCGCTGCTCCAATTCACCATATCATTTAGAACACGTCCTTTGTTTGGCTGTGTCAAACTGATGTGCTCTGAATGGCACGGCTTTGCTCGGCCGCGTCCACCCGTGCCGGGCGCCGTCTGCCTACCGGCGAAGTCGAGTGTGAGCGTGCGCCGTCGCTGGTCGGCCTGGTGGCGCAGCTGCTGCCGGTAGCGCTCGACGGCTTGCCGCTGCCGGCCGCTCAGCCAGCTGGAGCCCGTCTGGAAGTAGTCGCGCTCGTCGTCGATGATAGACGCCCGCTGCGTCCTGGACGGCAGACGGAGAGCACGATATCGTCACCGCGCCGACACAACAAATCACCGACACAAACGACACTGAGCTGTGTCCTGGACGGCACAGAGAGCACCATATCGTCACCGCGCCGACCGACAAAAACGGTACTGAGCATGGGTGTCGATTTTCGCCGAATTGGGGTGTCCCGGCGCAGCAAATCCACCGCCGCCCTAGCGGTGACCTTGACCCACGCCGTCTGTTGGGGCTCCAAAGCCAAGCCGGCCGAGCCGGCGGGGACTTTGGAGAGCTCGGGCATCCCAACCCGGCGGAAATCAACGCCCATGGTACTGAGAGGTAATGGCCGACAGAGAACACAATTAATGTCGCCGCGCCGACCGGCACAAACGGTGCCTGCCGATACGGTACTAGCCAACCTTTAGCGGCCAGCAGCCTGTGGCAGTGGCAGCCGCTCCAAAACGTACTGCATTGTACTACAATCTGACACCGACTGACTGTGTTCACCTCCTGGGGATTTCAGCTCATGTCGACAGCATCTACAGAGGAAGGGCGGGCTGAAACTGGAGGTAGGTAACACAACACTCCAGGAAGGACGCCTCACATAATCACAGTGAATAGTGAGTGATGCGTGGGTTCAGCTCTATGTGCGGGCGTCTATAGGCGGCCTTTACCCGTCTTTGTCCCGCTCCAGCAGCTTGTCTTTGTGTTCGGTGGCCCGGCGCAGAGCGGCGTCACTCCCCGGCTGCGTCCGCCCGCCGCCCGCCGCGGCCCGGCCCGGCGGTCCAGACTCGGAGCCCACCTGGGAACGGCGAGGGGCGCCTCAGATGGACCGGCACAGAGACACGAACAGCTGCAGTAGCGCACCTCAGATGGACCGGCACAGAGTTACGAACAGCGGCGCAATGCGCACCTCGGATGGACCGGCATAGAGACACGAACAGCGGCGCACCTCAGATGGACCGGCACAGAGATACGAACAGCACAGCGGCGTGCCTCAGATGGACCGACACAGAGACACGAACAGCGGCGCACCTCAGATGGACCGGCACAGAGATACGAACAGCGGCGCACCTCAGATGGACTGGCACAGAGATACGAACAGCGGCGCACCTCAGGTGGACCGGCACAGAGACACGAACAGCGGCGCACCTCAGATGGAACGGCACAGAGACACGAACAGCGGCGCACCTCAGGTGGACCGGCACAGAGACACGAACAGCGGCGCACCTCAGGTGGACCGGCACAGAGACACGAACAGCGGCGCACCTCAGGTGGACCGGCACAGAGACACGAACAGCACAGCGGCGCACCTCAGATGGACCGGCACAGAGATACGAACAGCGGCGCAATGCGCACCTCGGATGGACCGGCATAGAGACACGAACAGCGGCGCACCTCAGATGGACCGGCACAGAGATACGAACAGCACAGCGGCGTGCCTCAGATGGACCGACACAGAGACACGAACAGCGGCGCACCTCAGATGGACCGGCACAGAGATACGAACAGCGGCGCACCTCAGATGGACTGGCACAGAGATACGAACAGCGGCGCACCTCAGGTGGACCGGCACAGAGACACGAACAGCGGCGCACCTCAGATGGACCGGCACAGAGATACGAACAGCACAGCGGCGCACCTCGGATGGACCGGCACAGAGATACGAACAGCGGCGCACCTCAGATGGACCGGCACAGAGATACGAACAGCACAGCGGCGCACCTCAGGTGGACCGGCACAGAGACACGAACAGCGGCGCACCTCAGATAGACCGGCACAGAGATACGAACAGCGGCGCACCTCGGATGGACCGGCACAGAGATACGAACAGCGGCGCACCTCAGATGGACCGGCACAGAGACACGAACAGCACAGCGGCGCACCTCAGGTGGACCGGCACAGAGACACGAACAGCGGCGCACCTCAGATGGACCGGCACAGAGATACGAACAGCACAGCGGCGCACCTCGGATGGACCGGCACAGAGACACGAACAGCGGCGCACCTCAGATGGACCGGCACAGAGACACCAACAGCGGCGCACCTTAGTTAGATAGACCGGCACAGAGACACCAACAGCGGCGCACCTCAGATGGAACGGCACAGAGACACGAACAGCGGCGCACCTCAGGTGGACCGGCACAGAGACACGAACAGCGGCGCACCTCAGGTGGACCGGCACAGAGACACGAACAGCGGCGCACCTCAGATGGACCGGCACAGAGATACGAACAGCACAGCGGCGCACCTCGGATGGACCGGCACAGAGATACGAACAGCGGCGCACCTCAGATGGACCGGCACAGAGATACGAACAGCACAGCGGCGCACCTCAGGTGGACCGGCACAGAGACACGAACAGCGGCGCACCTCAGATGGACCGGCACAGAGATACGAACAGCGGCGCACCTCGGATGGACCGGCACAGAGATACGAACAGCGGCGCACCTCAGATGGACCGGCACAGAGACACGAACAGCACAGCGGCGCACCTCAGGTGGACCGGCACAGAGACACGAACAGCGGCGCACCTCAGATGGACCGGCACAGAGATACGAACAGCACAGCGGCGCACCTCGGATGGACCGGCACAGAGACACGAACAGCGGCGCACCTCAGATGGACCGGCACAGAGACACCAACAGCGGCGCACCTTAGATAGACCGGCACAGAGACACCAACAGCACAGCGGCGCACCTCAGATGGACCGGCACAGATATACGAACAGCGGCGCACCTCAGATGGACCGGCACAGAGATACGAACAGCGGCGCACCTCAGATAATAGGTAGACCGGCACAGAGATACGAACAACACAGCGGCGCACCTCAGATGGACCGGCATCAACAGCACAGCGGCACAACTCAAATGGACCGGCACAGAGACACCAACAGCGGCGCAATGCGCATTTTAGATGGACCGGTAGAGACAGCCTGGCAGATAAACGGACCCGCAGATAGACAGCACATAAAAACATTGTCATTGAGGGAAATATGCAGTCATGTTCCTCGTAGTCGCAACATTAGTAAAATGCATAACAAAGATATCTATCGCAGCTATTCGCTAGGTAAATACATAGTATGCATACTTTGACCATCACCTTCATATCCAATAACACTACACTGTCGCAAAAATGGTAACATTATGAAACTATTGTGTATTTCGTTCCGTTTCGTTCGGGTGTATCGAGGACGTCTGCCGTGGTATGTGGTCCGCGGTACCGGCTGTGGGGTGTGGTCCGTGGCGCCGGCCGTGGTATGTGGTCCGCGGTACCGGCCGTGGTATGTGGTCCGTGGCGCCGGCCGTGGTATGTGGTCCGCGGTACCGGCTGTGATATGTTGGTCCGCGGTGCCGGCTGTGGTATGTGGTCCGCGGTACCGGCCGTGGAGTGTGGTCCGCGGTACCGGCCGTGGTATGTGGTCCGTGGCGCCGGCCGTGGTATGTGGTCCGCGGTACCGGCTGTGATATGTTGGTCCGCGGTGCCGGCTGTGGTATGTGGTCCGCGGTACCGGCCGTGGAGTGTGGTCCGCGGTACCGGCTGTGGTATGTGGTCCGCGGTACCGGCCGTGGTATGTGGTCCCTGGTACCGGCTGTGGTATGTGGTCCGCGGTACCGGCTGTGGACTGTGGAGTGTGGTCCGCGGTACCGGCCGTGGTATGTGGTCCGTGGTACCGGCCGTGGTATGTGGTCCGCGGTACCGGCTGTGGTATGTGGTCCGCGGTACCGGACGTGGTGGTGGTCCGCGGCGTCGGCCGGCTGCTCACCATCGCGCCGCAAAACAGACAGGGCCCGGCGCCCTCCTGTTCGCACACTATCCGGCCGCAGCTCAGGCAGTTGGTCACCAGCGGGTGCTTGGCCGCCTGGCAGTCGCACCTGTGCCGGCCTGCGGACGGAGCGCCCGCGCGAGGACGGTTAGTGGGGACAGCACCCGGTCCCCGTACACCAGCAGCATATGGCGCACACCGTACACAGACACCCATCCAATCGTTCATGTACTGCAGCGTCAGTGACAGGTCAGCGAGCTGCATATCTGCACGAGGTTTGCGAGCCGCCAATACACTATTCAGTCGGTATGGAATGTCTTTTTTTTTTGTTGAGAGAAAACTCAAATTTTCAAAAATAGTCCCTGCACCACAATATGACAGATTTAACCCTCGCATGTGTGCGGCGTTTGCCAGCTTCTAACGTGGCCCCCCTTGCCGTTTGGCCCCTGATAGAGCTAGAGCTTCGCGGAAAAAACGAACGTGTTGCTCGTCACGAGACGAAGCCGATGATACCTAATTTTAAGGTCCTAGGTCATTGGTTGACCTTCCAGGTCGTCAATGAACCAAAAGTCGGGAAAATCGGGACCTGTTAGAAAGTCGTAGAGTGTGGCTGCTATAGGGTTTTTCGGGGTGCTGATCACGAATATCATGTTAGTTTTGATCAGATGATGTCTTTAAGCATTTAGACTAGGTCGGGTCAGGTCAAGTCAGGTCAACCAGTAGGGGTCGTGAAGGGTATTCGTAGTAGGTGTCAACCGCCTCTGACAGCTTCGTAACATGTTACGAAAGCACCAAAACTACTTCGTAAACGTTCAAATGGTTTCTAAATTCGAATTCATCTCCAAAAACTAGCCTAGAAACATGTAAAACTCGAAAAGTGAACCGAGGTCACCAAAAGTCAATGACCTGACCTGACCTTCAGGTGACCTTGACATCCACCCTAATGCATGGGAGCAACATCGAATCACATGTTTGAACGTTTGAAACCACGAAAAGCTTGCAAACGCGCGGCTAATGCGAGCCGACATACGCCGAATCGCGATTCCGGCCAAACATGGCCTCGTGAAATAGGTCACAGGTCAAAGGTCACTTGGGTCAGGGTCATGAAACTTTCAGAGTAGGTGTAAAATTGATCAACTCGAGGGTACTGAAAGTTTCGTCGCGATCGGCCGCTTTTTGCGCGAGTTATTCGCGAAAAACCATGGGGGGCATCCGACCCCCTACACATGCGAGGGTTAAAACGCTAGTAAAGGAGCTAAAAAAGCCAGTGGAATTAACAGTATCAAATAGCGTAGTTATCAATTTCACAGAATCTTACCAGGAAGCTTCATGGATGCTATATCAGCACCTTCTGGAGAAAACACATTTACTTGCTTTTTCCTTCTTCCACTGCTCTTTTGCATCGTTGCTGTGCTTAGTCCTAGAAGCAAAAGGAAAACATTAAATTGCTAAATCAGAGGGTCCTCTGGCCAAATGGATGACATGGGTGCTGATCTGTCACTGTTTTTTATCAGCAAGCTAGCGGTCTGCTGGTTTTCTTGGCTTCTCATTTGTAATATCAGGTGGTCTGTGCAGTTTACCAATGAGAGACCAAATAACCCCAGCAATGAACTTCTATATATAGAAGACCTGCAGCATGCTGGCAAAATAACTGACAGAAATGGGACCCAATTTGGCATTGGTCATTTCACAATACGAAAAAAACAGTTACAGAGTTCTATTCACTCTGTTTTATTGCTCAGACAATTTCATGAAAACTAAACCAGTGGACAACTGAACCAGAAGACAACTGAACAAGCAGACAACTGAACCAGTGGACAACTAAGCCAGTGACAACTGAACCAGTGATGACTGAGCCAGTGACAACTGAACCAGTGACAAATAAACCAGTAGACAACTGAAACAGTCGACAACTGAACCAGTGGACAGCTGAACCAGTGGACAACTGAACCAGTGGACAACTGAATCAGTGAACAACTGAACCAGTGATGACTGAGCCAGTAGACAAATGAACCAGTGAAAATTGAGCCAGTGGACAACTGAACCAGTGAAAATTGAGCCACTGGACAACTGAAACAGTGAAAATTGAGCCAATGACAACTGAACCATTGAACAGCTGAACCAGTAATTAAGTCAACCCTTGCACACACTGGCCTTTCAATTGCAGACACATCACAGTAAATCTAAAACAATAATCAACCTAATCTAACCTAATCTCCACTGGTTGTCACCAGTTCAGTTGTCTAGTGGTTCAGTTATCACTGGTTCAGTTTTACTGGCTCTGGATCAGTTGTCCATTTACCTGTCAGACGCACACATTGTCCTATAATGAGCCATCTGGAAGCTGCTGAGAGGGTCAGGCTAGAATGTGCCACTATCTATACCTATGTGGTATACAATCCAGAATTATAGGGCCTATTTAGAAACCACACACATGGAACATCACCACAATTACCACTCGTGACCTGAACCAGGCTAGGCATGGCTGGGTGGCAGGTAGGTATGATAAATTATTTTTGTAATGAATATTACTTTGGGATTAAATATTTATTTAGCATTGCTTGGTAGACTATATCAATCTTACTAAAGGAAATATTTCACTTTCAACATACAGTTTTGAACTGAAATAGCAATGACCAGTGTACCTTTAGCTGAGATTAGCACAATTCAGGGGCTTTTACTGCCCAAAAAATCACCCTAGGCAAGGATATTCCATTTCTTGTCCTGAATCATTCGGCATTAGTAGAGCATACGTCACATGAAGGTTTTCCAACCAAGAAGAGGCGCTGCAGGTTTGTAGGTTGTAGGGTAGGTTTGAAGGTTGTAGGTTGTAGGTTTGTTTTGGTCATTTTCTCTTTTTGATCAGTATCCGAGTTCCCCCACCTCACCTTGACCTTCACCTTGTAGCACCCTGACCTGCTCGGGCCATTATGATCAACAAATGTCTTATACCGTTGGATAACAACAAAATAACAAACCTTGAATTGAATTTGGTTGAGACGGTTCAACTGGTTCAACTCACGTAAAAAAGCGAGAACAACAAATTGCAACACATCACACATCTGACGGCAATCGCATACACTGGCATACACACACGCTGAGTGTTATCCAAGATTGTGTCATCCATAATTTTATTTAGCGGCCGTATCCTCGGAGTAGACTTCGCAATGCTCAGTTTTAAAGCATATGCTGCTACTAGTAGCTTCTATGCGCAGAAAGCAGAAGTTATGACGTCATCAAACTAAAGTTGTCCAATGATAGCAGATCATTGTATGACCGATGATGTCACTTGTCATCAAAAGTCCCATGACGTCAGTCATTAGTCTTCCTGATGAACTGCTAATGAACAGAGTCATGATGACCGGCGGAATATGCCGGCTGCGTGGACACTTTTAGATCCAAGAAGTCCGTGTCTGTGGACGATTTTCACTCATTGAAATTAGTCAAAACAGCAGTTAAAAACATATAATAGCACAACGGCATAACTGAGTAACGCCACGGGTGTCGATCGAGCCCACAGAAGCTAGCGGAAACGTGATCTCAAGCTTACGTGAAGGCTGCACATTACAGACATCAATCTTCTAGTTAAACCGTTTCCAAGCTACTCTAAGAGAAGTTTTGATGAGTTTTTAGTGAGTGCAGAAAGACATAATGTATTGGCTTGGATTGTGAAAAGACTGGTTCAAGATAGCAAAATGGGCTGCAAGACTAAGGCCCTCGATGATCTCATACAGTCATTGTCGTATCACAATGTTCGTCCATTGATATTTCATGGCTATATGCTGCCATTTATCACACTCTATTTGGTGTGGCTGTACATATGGCTATTTGTTCAAGGCTATGAAGAACATTTTGAGATGGGATTGGTTGGCATAGCTGTGATAGGCTTTATCCAGATTCTCACAAGCTTATTTTGCTTGTGGTCAGTGTCTGTCAGAGTTCTTCTAACTACATCAGCGGTAAGCTCAATTAATTCTTTCAAATTTCCAGTTACATTGAAGGAAGTTGTGTAAATGTCTCAGCCTGTACCATGAACAACTTAGCCAGTTATGTTTATCATTCTGAATATTTTGACTGAGATTTTAGCTTTAGATTCCTGATGATTGGCTGCCTTTTGCATTTATGATTTAACCCTATTAGTGGCAGGCTCCTGGCTACCCCATATTAGTGGCAGGGGGGGCTGTTTACGACCCCCCCTTGATATCTCAAGATCTAACCGGCCGATTTTCAAAATTCAAACGGCATTCGATTTGGCTCAACGAGATCTACATTTCTAAAAAAAAATAAAATTAAAAAATGTCAATAGGGGGGTAGAGGGGGGTAAAAACGGGCAAATTGCAGATACATTTTAGACTGTTTATCACGGCCAGGTTTCTGAACCAATCTTAACGCAACTTTTGCCGTTCGATAGAGAATGAACCAGGAATTCACATGGATCCTAAAAATATGCATTTTCAAAAATCATAGGCGGATACAGATCATTGAGATTGGGGGTACACAAAAAGTATAGTAAATAAGGTTTTTGTTGGTACTGTTTCTAAAAAGGGTGGCAATGGTCTTGTTATGTTACAATTTTCTTATGAGAGAACGACTAAAATTGTATTGGTCATGCATAGGCGGTGTCAGGGCACCTATGTTGGGAGGTAAAAAATAACCCCCCTTTTTGGACGCCTGGATCCGCCTATTATAGCAAAAACGTGTCAAAAGAGGATGCACAATAACTTTGTATATGTTATCACATGATACCTTTCATTCACTGTTCGTAAAACTGGTGCAGCATCGTGATCTTCGCCCAAATGACTCGCTTCACGAATAGGACCCCCAATTCCCAGTGCTCTGGAGCCGCCCCTGGTAAAGTTATGAACTTGAAATTTTCAGGGAATGTGCCCAATTTAGTTTTAGGAAAAGTCAGAAAATTTCAGCATCGTAGCTTCAGCGGTTTCGGAGATATTCCCGAAAAACCTGAGGGGTGGATAAAAACAACCCCCCCCCTGCCACTAATAGGGTTAAGACAGGACAGACTGAACAGTAAATTTCTGATGCAAAATTCCAAGGCATTTTCTGATGAAACCTAATCTTTGACATATCTATTGATATGGGATTTACTTCTCTGAAATGCAAAGTGCAGCATGAGCTTTCTGATGTGGCCACTCTATAAGGTAAAATTTGCAAGTTTTTCCTAAGAGTCAGTATGTTCTCACAGGTTCAGCGGCCATCACAGGCCTCTTATATCAAGGTTGTGCCGACCCCAAATAATGGCTCCTCAGAGCTGATCCGACTGCACCATGGCAAGGACAGCAGTGGAGCAGAGGTCATCTGGTTCAGGTTCCAGAAGGCCAAGTACTTCTGGGATGATGACAAGAAGCAGTTCAGGGTTAGTAGAACATATTACCAAGAAGCCATTGATGCCAAAGCAGGGTGCTTGAAAATTAAGATTGTTTTAGTCAGGCTTACATGGTAAGATTGGATAACTTGAAATGGTACTAAGCTAACAAATGCCACCAGAAAAGGTTCAGGTTCTTATCTACCTACTTGCTGATGGGGAACCATTTTCCAGCCCTGTCAATTGACTGGACCACTGGTGTACATCTGTTGGCACCACTCATGAAGTTAAATCAGTGAGACTGCATCAAGTTGGTTGCATTGGCATTGCGTTTTGGTCCACGTCCACAAGTCTGTCTCACTCCTGGAGCTCCTGTCAGGCTCTTTACATGTATCAGCTGCCCTATCTGCCATCCACAGGGCCTGGAGTTTCCGGTCAACCATTCTTTGGGCTTCTACAACTCGTGGCGAGGGTATGAAGATGAAGAGGAGCTCAAGAAGGCCGAGTTCACGTACGGAACAAACCTGTGAGTCACATTCTTTTATGCACGATTGGACCTAAATACCTTGCCGTCCACTATGGCTTATCATCACTTCATTAAGATGCTCATCGAACCATCGCACGGCTGATAAGGTCGGCGGTCCGGCACTGCGGTGGCGGCGCGGATCGGCGATGGCCGACTGGGGCACTGGCCCTCATGCTACCGCTGGCTTCAGGTGCGCTGGTTGTGGCTGCCCAGGTGGGCTGCTGTCCGTCTTTTGGCAAAAAAACGAAATTGACGGAATGTGAGTCCGCTAACGGCTGTTCGGCAACGACACAGGACCCCGAGTAGTGCAGTAGCGAAGTAGCGGACAAGGGTGCTGGTATCGGATACCAGTCATCCGCGCATTGATAAGGTGCTTTGCTTTGGTCGCCACTGTCCAGTTCAGCGACAGTTAACCTTATAATAACGGCTTACGCGAAACGGGAACGATAAATATTAGGTAAACCATTCAGGTTAGCTGCTGCTTTCAAAGTATTTTTGTCATACAAATTATGTCGTAGTGGTTGACCAGCTGGCTCCAGGATCGGGTTCCCGCTAGACGGATGTTGTTGTGTGCAGTGTGATCAGTGATGCCGCAGACCGATGATTCTCTGTCCGGGCCCAGTTCGCCGATACAGTTATAAACCGTAGCTTACCGCGACGAAAGTAGACGGCGGCGGTGTCTTCCTGGGCCTTAGGCAGCTCTTTATCGCTTGGCCTAAATAACATCGCGGGTCACACATCGTGCACTCGTCGGGCCCCGATGTGCCCGATATACTGACGCTGGTTGGTGCCCGATATACTGACGCTGGGTGTGCCCGATATACTGACGCTGGGTGTGCCCGATATACTGACGCCGGGTGTGCCCGATATACTGACGCCGGGTGTGCCCGACAGGCTGGATCTAGACGTGCCCGATACACTGACACTGTGCCCGATATACTGACGCTGGGTGTGCCCGATATACTGATGCTGGGTGTGCCCGACAGGCTGGACCTGGACGTGCCCGATATACTGACGCTGTATACTGACGATATACTGACACTGGATGTGCCGATACACTGAACTTGTGCTCGATATACTGACGCTGGGTGTGCCCGATATACTGACGCTGTATACTGACTACTGACGCTGGGTGTGCCCGACAGGCTGGACCTGGACGTGCCCGAGTTCGCTGAACTGTTCAAGGAGAGGGCGGCCGCGCCGTTCTTCGTGTTCCAGGTCTTTTGCGTCGCGCTCTGGTGTATGGACGAATACTGGTCAGTATTTGATAGAGTAGTTAATTCATGAAAACCCATCCTTGCTGCTGTCATTACTGTGCTTAGTGTGTGTGTGGGGGGGGGGCCGGGGGGGGGGGGTATTTTGACGTTTATTTTTAGTAGAAACGACGCCATCAAGCAACACGTGTCATTGGACCGACTGCATTGTCCGTTGCTGCTGCATGAGTGCTGTCGATAATCGATATACGATAATCGATAGCAGCGATAATGCTGCTGTCGGTAGCGTCACAAATCGACTACTACTCGTTCTATGCGATCACTTCTGTGGCTGTCGAGTACCTATTACTGTTTCCCGGTGCTACCCGACATCCGCCGCCTGGTCCGTGTTTTTCACTACTACTCGATATTGACGTTTGGATCCCCGTGTATTCCCGGCGTTACTCGGTTTTCACGCTGGGGCCGGTGTGTGTTTTTCAGGTACTACTCGATATTCACTTTGATGATGCTGGTGATGTTCGAGTGCACGCTGGTGCAGCAGCAGCTCAGGAACATGTCCGAGATCAGAAACATGGGCAACAAGCCGTACACCATTCAGGTGGGTCGGCCGACAGCCGGCTCGGCTGCTCAGACCAGCCCGATACAGCGTACACCATACTGGGGCTCAGGCTGGGATGGTCGGGCCGGCCTACGGTTATGCTGGCTAGACTTTAACTTGGGGTTTGCTTTTAAAAAAACTAAGGTTTTTAACTCGTCCCAGAATCATAAACTTCTCACACGTCTTGTTCTAAATCGTTTGTCTTTGTGGTCCAGCGACCTTTGCATTCATTAACTAGATCCAAGATTGGATTGGATAGATGGATAAATGGATAGATTGGATTGGGTAGATACAGCTATTCAAGAAGCGTTCGACTCGTTTTGGCTTTCCCTGCACAAAAGTAATGTCATAGAATTAGCTTCTGGTAGACCTTAACTGAATCACAGTACGTCGGACAATAACAGCGGCGACTCGGGGACTGGGCCATGAGCGGCCTCTGACTGTTCCCGATGTGGGGAGTGGCGGGCAGTCTGAGTGTGCTGGAGTCGCGCCCGGCCTCTGACTGTTCCCGGTGTGGGGAGTGGCGGGCAGTCTGAGCGTGCTGGAGTCGCGCCCCGGCCTCTGACTGTCCCCGGTGTGGGGAGTGGCGGGCAGTCTACTAGAGTCGCGCCCGGCCTCTGACTGTTCCCGGGTGGGGGGGGGGGGAAGGGGGAGTATAGGGCAGTCTGACGCGTGCTTGAGTCGCGCCACGGCACACACTACCAGCTGTGCGTGGTCTGCGAGCCGACGCTCAGCAATGTTCGTCTCAAGTACCTTTCACCGATAACACAGTGTTTCCAACGGTATAATCTTGTCCCAAGCTCCATGTTATCGATCACGTCTAGTTCCATAGGATATTAACCCGCGCCCTGCTGGGGGGGGGGGGTGTTTGAACACCCCCCCTTGTGGTTTTTCGCGAATATCTCAAAAACGGTGGCGCGGAGCTCCGCCGTTTTTGGTACACCTTATCATACATCAATTCTACACATGTTGTGAAAATTTCAGACCAAGGTCATTCAAGGTCAGGTCACCAGGTCACTTGAAGTGACCTCACCTCATAAAAACTTTCAATGTCTGTCATAGCTACACCGAGTGACCGATCGCTTTGAAACTTTCAGCGATTGCTAAGAGCAATAGCATGTACAAAATGTATATCTCAGAATTTTGATATCGATGACCCAAGGTCAGGTCAATTTTGCGACCTCCCCATTATAAGTCAATGGGAGAAAATTGAAATGCGCCTTTTTTGGATGAAAGACATTATAAACACTCCCAAACACCGAATTACAAGTGGTTTAGACACACTGAACTTGAAAATGGTGTCCGTGACCCTTGTTTATGCCCTGAGGTCATCTTAGGTCACGAATGGTATCTAACAGTTTTTCGCAAATAACTTTTGATAGAGGCATGCTAGCGCGATGAAAACTCCTTAGATGTGTTCAGCTCGACGATACGGATCGACTGATATGCAACATGACCCTTTCCGGTCAGGTCATGACCTTGACCTGAGGTCAAATTTTCAAGTTGACCTTTCAAGGTCAAGTTATTGTTCATTCGATGCGTCTTGACGAGAGGAACACGATGCCGGTAAAAGTAAGCTCGTACAAGGCTTGGGTCAAAAGTTATTGCAGAAAAACTGTTTTCGAAAAAATCGGTTATTTTTGCAGTTTTTGCCCCCTGCAGGCAAAACCGTTGACGTTAGGTCAAATCTGAGAGAATTGCTCAGAAAGGGCGTTAATAGGGCTATCGAATGCGCTTTTCCGCGGCGCTGTAGCTCTATTGGTTCCCGAGTTATGCGTTGGCTTCTTGGAAATTTTCGACATTCGACCTGGAAATCGGCGAAATTTTGCCTTCAATGACCTCTGGTGACCTGACCTTTGACCTGACCAAAAAATTGACCGAAGTGATTTCGTCATTATTTTTTGCGCTCTTTCGAACGCCGCCTTCCGCGTATCGCTACGTGGCCCAGGAGCCGAGTTACAAGGGGGGGGGTGTTCAAACACCCCCCCCCCCCCCAGCAGGGCGTGGAAATCCAGGACCCCCAGCAGGGCGCGGTTTAAGGCAACCCCGCCAACAGCAGCTATCAGTCACTTGTGTAGGTAGCGATCATGAACGTTTGTTTCAATACCCATGTGCTAGCTGCGTCGAGGCTGACCTCTTTCTACTGCTGTGGTTTGCAAGAGATATTGCCGTGGGCGTCGATTGATAGCGTTGTAAAGTCGCCAAATGAATAAATTAATAAGAAAAAGTCGAGCTCTGCGACGCCTATGCCCTTCCTACCGCATGGTGTGTCACAAGTTCGATTCTACGGGTCGTATATTGATATATCATTAGACGCTTGTATGGGTAACGATTAAAGTCGTGTCATTTTCAATACCCATATGTCTTTGGACACATATATTGTACGGTACGCACTTATAACGGTGACCGTCTGCGTGCAGGTGTACCGGGGCCGCCGCTGGCGTCCGCTGCCCTCGGACCAGCTGATTCCCGGTGACATCGTGTCGGTGACGCGCTCGGAGCACGTGGTGCCCTGTGACCTGCTGCTGCTCCGCGGACCGTGCATCGTAGACGAGAGCATGCTGACCGGTCAGTGGCAGTGGCGACCGGCCGCGGACATTTATCCATATCTGTATGTTTTAGATATGAATGTATGTTTGTCTGCTCATTCGTTTGTGACTGGATGTCCCTGTGAGCTTTTGGCTGCCTTTGTCCATTTCGAGCATAAAAATCATTTGACCCAGCCGGGCGCGGAAGTCGATCTGACCACTCCGTCTGACCGCTCTGACCGGCGGCTCTTACCTCTCTGTCCTCTGTCTGTTTGATATGGCCGCTGTCTGACCGCTCTGTCTCGCCGCTCCGTCCGGCCTCTCTGACCGCTCCGCCCTCTGGCCGGTTTCGCCAGGCGAGTCGGTGCCGCAGATGAAGGAGCCAATCGAGGACGGCGAGCCGGCTCAGCTGCTCGACATGGACTCAGAGGCCAGGCTGCACGTGCTGTTCGGCGGCACGCGCGTCGTGCAGCACACCACGCCGCCAAAGACCACGTCCACGCTCAGAGGTAGGTGGCGGAGAGGCAGGAGGCCGGTGACGCTTCCACACTAGCTGTTACCTCCTGTCCACGTCAGAGGTAGGCGGCTGGTTAGGTAGGTGTCGGAGAGCTGGGCAGCCGGCGACGCCAGCACGTCACCCTGGCCGTCCGATCCTTCCCAGACCAGCTGGCGAGGCGGGATAGGTGTCCTTCCCCCATCCAGCACTGTCCGCCGGCTGTGGTGGGCGCCGGCTGTGACTGACGCGCCGCCCCGCCGGCATCGTCCGACAACGGCTGTCTGGCGCACGTGCTGTGTCTCTGTGCTGTGTCTCTGACGGGCGGACGGCTGTCTGGAATACGTCGTGCTGTGTCTGACGCGGCGCCCTGTCGGCAGCCTCCGACAACGGCTGTCTGGCGTACATACTGTGTCTCTAACGCGGGTTCCCGCCGGCAGCGTCGGACAACGGCTGTCTGGCGTACGTGCTGCGCACGGGCTTCTCGACGTCTCAGGGCCGTCTGCTGCGCACCATCATGTACGGCGTGAAGCGGGTGACGGCCAACAACCTGGAGACGTTCGGCTTCATCCTCTTCCTGCTGGTGTTCGCCGTCGCCGCCGCCAGCTACGTCTGGATCGAAGGTAAATTACTGCCTAGTGGGCCGACCCCGCCGTCCTGGCGTTAGACAAATACTGCGGTCATTCTACTGTATCGATCGACATATGACCAAGTTGGGCGGTACTCCTCTACTGAGACTGCGGTATTGGCTTTATAACTCCTACTCGGGACTATTCGGATTGATCATAATGCCCACACTGTGAGCACGGGAAATTGATACTTTGTGCAGCCGCTTATGAGAGGAGTGGGGTGGAGCTAGGGACGTGGAGAGTCTGTAGGCCGGATTTACCCCACTCGGGAGAGAAGTGGTGTGCTCAGTACCCACTCGACGCCGCCTCCGCTGTGACAGGCACCAAGGACCCGAGCCGCAGCCGGTACAAGCTGTTTCTGGAGTGCACGCTGATCCTGACGTCGGTGGTGCCGCCCGAGCTGCCCATCGAGCTGTCGCTGGCCGTCAACAGCTCGCTGGTGTCGCTCATCAAACTCTGTAAGTCCGCCGCCCACCCCCTACCGTATCAAATCACCGCTCTTGGGACAGACTGCAGCTCTGTGACTGCGCCGCACTTGCCTCTCCGTTCTGACTCGTCCCTCCCTCCCGCCCGTTACCCGCTCCTGCCGCCCGCTCTAACCCGCCCCCGCCCGTTACCGTCAGACGTGTACTGCACGGAGCCGTTCCGGATTCCGCTCTGACAGTATTCCCTCCCGCCCTGACCCGCCCCGCCCGTTACCGCCAGACGTGTACTGCACGGAACCGTTCCGGATCCCGTTCGCCGGCAAGGTGGAGATCTGCTGTTTCGACAAGACCGGCACGCTGACCAGCGACAACCTGATCGTCGAGGGCGTCGCCGGACTCAGGTGCGTCGCCTATCCGTGTATGAACACTGTGGCTGGTGCGTCAACTCCCCGTGTGCCCGTCCTCCCTTCTGGGCCGGACCCGGGACCATCGCCCTCCTGCCGGTCCCGCGCCGGGGCCCCGCTCTCACTGACACCAATAGCTGGCGTGTATCGCCGACATCTGTGATTACTGATTAGTGTGAGTGCTCCCTGCCGCCATGGAGGTGAGTGCCGCACACTCCCCTCTGAGTGCTGCCTGCCGTCAGGGATGACGTCAGTGTCGCACGCTCACCATTGAGTGCTCCGTGCCGCCAGGGAGCGTCCGGAGATGTGTGAGATCGCCGAGGCGCCGCCGGAGACGGTCCAGGTGCTGGCCTCGTGCCACTCGCTGGCGCAGCTCGACGACGGCCTGGTCGGCGACCCTCTGGAGAAGGCCACGCTGACGGCTGTCGACTGGAGTCTGACCAAGGGTGCGCACCGCCGCCGGCCGGGCGCTGGGCAGTAGACGGGCTGGGTGACGGGCGGCGGGCATTGCTCAGTGATCAGGGGTCAGGTGTAAAACCAACTCATTAATATGACATTAATAGGTTTGATTGAATTTTGTGAGGTCAGCTGTAGCAGGAATCAGTGTCTGCCGGCGCTGTGCCGACACCGTCCCGCTGCCGTCAACAGGAGACGCCGTGATCCCCAAGAAGGGTAAGATGCCGGGCCTGAAGATCTTCCACCGGTACCACTTTTCGTCGGCGCTGAAGAGGATGTCCGTACTGGCCGGGTTCACGGAGCCGGGCACGTCCGAGACCCATTACCTGGCCACGGTCAAGGGCGCGCCGGAGACCCTCAAACCGATGGTGAGGGCAGCTGGGACCCCGGGATGGGTCCGGGGACAGTCGGACAGGCCCCTGTGACAGTCGGACGGGCCCCCGGGGCAGACGGGCTCGGTCACCGCCCGCCACTGTCGCTCGCAGCGTTCGATGCCCGCGGCGTGTTACCCGCCGGTGTCGCCGTCCCGCTGCACAGCCCGGGTCCTCTGTGTGCCCCGACCTGACGTCCACCTCCCCGTGTCCCCACCGTCAGTTTGTGGACGCCCCGGACGACTACGACGCCACCTACCTGAAGATGTCGCGGCGGGGCGCGCGCGTGCTGGCGCTGGGTCGCCGGGATCTGGGCCGTCTCAGCCACCAGCAGGTCAAGGAGCTGACCCGGGACACCATCGAGGCCGAGCTCGAGTTCGCCGGGTTCGTCATCATCTCCTGTCCGCTGAAGGCCGACTCGCGCGCCGTGATCCGCGAGATCCTGGCTGCCTCGCACCAGGTGAGATAACTCACCCAGACGGCCACTGGGGCCTCCTTGTCTCCTCGAGTCTGCAATAGGACTGTCCATCGCCCAGCCTGGCGTCAGCTCATTTCATTAAAAGTGTGTTTCTTTCGAGTCGTCCATAGCTGTGCAATTGTGTTCTTGCCACAGCGATCCCCCGTCTGAAACGCGCGCTCGTGCCGGACAGGTGGCGATGATCACGGGCGACAACCCGCTGACGGCGTGCCACGTGGCCAAGGAGCTGCGCTTCTCGTCGGGCGGACGCACCATGCTGATCCTCAGCAGGCGCGGCGGCGACGACTGGGGCTGGCGCAGCATCGACGAGACGGTGTGGCGGCCGCTGGAGCCGACCTCGTGGGCCGAGCTGCTGGCCCAGCACGACCTGTGCGTCACCGGCGAGGGCGTCACCTTGCTGCAGCAGCGCTCCGAGCGCCTGCTGCAGACCGTGCTGCCGCACGTGCGCGTGTTTGCGCGCGTGGCGCCCAAACAGAAGGAGCTGGTCATCACCACGCTCAAACAGCTCGGCTTCGTCACGCTGATGTGCGGCGACGGCACCAATGACGTGGGCGCGCTCAAACACGCGCATGTCGGTACGTGCGCGAGACCAGCTGCCGGCACTAGGGCCGCGCCTGCGGGGTAGGAGGCCTTACCCTCTGCAGACTTGGAACACCTCTAAAGGCTGAAGCAGACTCTTTCCGCGTTCAGGAAATCGCATGCGAGAGCCTATTCAAATACATTGTAATTCTTCTCGCATCAATCGCTTGCGGGAGGTGCGTGCGATTGATGCGAGCGCGCTTCCAAGTTTCTCATCTCATCTCATCTCATACTGTATTAAGGACATCCGCAATATACTTGCGGCTATTACTGCCTTTCGTCACGTGATAAAACCAATGAACGTAAATCGGCAATGGGAGAGTAGGCACTCGCAGGGCCAGCTTCACCGCTCACACACACACGCTCTCAGAGGCTAGGAGTGGCGGCACGGGGCGAGACACGGGGGAGGTCGGGGGCGCCGGCGCTGCGACCCGACCCCGGGCGCGGCGCAAGTTCCATGTATTTGAATAGGCTCTCGCATGCGATTTCCTGACTGCGGAAAGAGTCTCTTTCAGGCTTAAGGTTCTAAGGACGGGTTCTGTCGTTTAAGGTAGGGGTTGTCCCCCTGGGGACGGGTGGTGTGCAGAGGGATAGGACTGTGTCCCCTGGTGGCGGAGATCTACCCATCGGGGCTGAAGAGAGCCTCCATGCATGGAATAAGCTCTGGATGTTGTATACTGAGTGTGCCGGTCGCCCTGTACCGGCGCGCACTCACTGTGGACCCGCCGCGCCGGCCCCTGAGACTGACCGCGCGCCCGCTCCGCTGCAGGTGTGGCCATCCTGGCCAACGCGCCGGAGCGGCTGCCGAGTAAGCGGCGCCGGGAGCCGGCGGCGGCGCGCGAGGACGCCAGCTCGCCGCGCGACCGGCTCGATCAGATGGTGGCGCGCGGAAAACTGGGCCGCCGAAACGAGCGCGCGCGGCCCGACCGGCCCACCAACGCCCGCCAGGTGGGGGCTACAACTGCTGCCGGCTGATCAGCGCCGGCAGACAGGCCAGCGGGAACACTTGAGATGGGGGCTAGAGGTTGATCAGCTCGGACCAGCGGGAACCTTTTTGACTCCGAATTTTTAGCAATGAGTACGATTCAACTCTTCTTGGTGTTTACGGTTTATTGCATCATGTATCCTTTATATTCAACACTGGCAGCTAACCCTGGTCAGCTCTCTACACTGGTGGCCCTCCACGGGCCTGTCCCTGCGTCCCTCGGTAGCGGTCGTGCTGCCACTGACAGTCACTGTCCGTCCGTGTTCTTTAGGAGCGGCTGCAGCAGCTGCAGACGATGCTGAAGGAGTTGGAGGAGGAGGAGGGTGCCCAGGTGGTGAAGCTCGGCGACGCCTCCATCGCGGCGCCCTTCACCTCCAAGCTCTCCTCCATCAACAGCGGTGAGTCGCACAGATCCCGATCTGTCTGTCTGCAGCTGGCCGGCTCGGTGGGCGGGGACAGGACCACTCTGCGTGGGATTCTTGGCCTGGTGCGTGACCCCCACCCAGTGCGTGTCTGCTGTCATGTGGACGGACCGGTGTTGGTGTATTATCACTTGGTGGGTGTCTCGACTGTGTTTGGGCGGACCTGTGTTAGTGTATCACCTTGTGGTGCGTGTCGGTTCCGCTCACGGCCCTGCCGTCCGTTCCAGTGTGCCACATCATCGAGCAGGGCCGCTGCACGCTGATGCCTCTGTGCTGGTGGGTTGTGTGGTGTGTGTCCGCGTGCTCACGGTCCCGCCGTCCGTTCCAGTGTGCCACATCATCAAGCAGGGCCGCTGCACGCTGGTCACCACGCTGCAGATGTTCAAGATCCTGGCGCTGAACGCGCTCATCCTGGCCTTCTCGCAGTCGGTGCTCTACCTGGACGGCGTCAAGTTTTCTGACGGCCAGGCCACGCTGCAGGGCATCCTGCTGGCCGGCAGCTTCCTCTTCATCTCCCGCTCCAAGGTGAGCCGACAGCTGCCACCTGACGGTCCACGGTGAGCCGGCAGTTCCCTGTTCATTTCCCGGTGTTAGTTATGTGTGAGTTTTTGTTTCAAGTCAACCTTTCGTCAGTTTGATAGTTAACGTTCGCAAATTACTGTAGGAAAATGTCCGGCATTGGCTAACGTATTTATCCGTCCAACCATTATAACGCTCGGCACCTGTTCTCTCCGGCAGCCGCTGAAGGTGCTCTCCTCTCAGCGGCCGCTGCCCAACATTTTCAACGTGTACACGATCCTGACGGTGCTGCTGCAGTTCGGCGTCCACTTCGGCTGCCTGGTGTTCCTCGTCTCCGAGGCCAAGGCGCGCATGCCTGTCAGGTGAGTCGGCCGCCGGGAGCGGCTGTAGTGTGGTGTGGAGACCGCCGGTCACCCGGGCTGGCGGCCACTGCGCCCGGGGGCGGCGTGCCGTACTGCGTCCTGTGTCTGTCTGAACCGTGCGGGGTGAGACTGTGCTGCCAGCCTGTTGACGGCGTCTGGAACTGTAAGTGACGCGTTTTTCGGGCTCTGTCGCCAGGGAGAGCGGCTTTCCGGACCTGGAGAAGGAGTTTGAGCCCAACATTCTCAACTCGACCGTGTACATCATCTCGATCACGCTGCAGGTGGCCACGTTTGCCATCAACTACCGGGTGAGTGGGAAGGCGGACGGAATCTCAGTCAGTCAGTCAGTCAGTCAGTCAGTCAGTCAGTCAGTCAGTCAGTCAGTCAGTCAGTCAGTCAGTGTTGGCCAGGACGTCAGTCAATGAGTCAGTCAGCCAGTCAGTCAGACAGTGGGACTGGTCATTCAACAGCCGGCCAGTTCGTCAGCCATGCAGTCAATTATCTAAAGAATCAAGTGGTTAGTCGACTTTCTAAAATAAATATGTAAAATTTTGCTATTGCTGTGAAGTTATCGATGAACAGAAAAAATAAACATTCTTAAATGCGTTCAAGGAACTTTTCTGGAGAGAAAAATTATGCAGTTCACTCCTGACGCACACGTGAACTGCGATATCTTTCCGTTGCTTACCGCGTGTAGCTGTGCGTATGACTCGCTGTGTCTGGGCCCCTCGGCGGCCGGCTGAGGTGCTGACGCCGTACTGTGTCTGTGTGTGGCTGACGGACTGCTGAGGTGCTGACGCCGTGTGTCTGTGTCTGTGTGTGGCTGACGGGCTGTCTCTCCCCCCCCCCCTCCGGGGCCGGCTGAGGTGCTGACGCCGTGTGTCTGCGTGTGGCTGGCGTACTGTCTCCCCCCCCCCCCTCTGCGGCCGGCCGAGGTGCTGACGCCGTGTGTCTGTGTGCGTATGACTCGCTGTGTCTCGCCCCCCCCCCCCCCCGGCCGGCTGAGGTGCTGACGCCGTGTATCTGTGTCTGCGCTGCCCCGCCGCAGGGCCACCCGTTCATGGAGAGTCTGTGGGAGAACCGGCCGCTGCTGTACAGCATTGTCGGCTCGCTGGCCGTCGTGTTCGCCATGGCCAGCTGCGTGATGCCCGACCTCAACGAGCAGTTCTCGGTCGTCATGTTCCCGGACGACGTGAGTAGCGCGCCGGCGCAGGGAAAACATGAGTAGCGCGCCGGCACACCGGAGACGCTCCGACTAACGCGCCGTCACACTGGGGACGCAGCTGTGACTAACGCGCCGTCACACTGGGGACGCAGCTCTGACTAACGCGCCGTCACACTGGGGACGCAGCTCTGACCAACGCGCCGACACACTGCACAGTGGGGATTTTTCCGATCTAGCGCCTATTAATTCAAAAAATCTTTTTGGATTTTTGCTTATTTTTTGTGTCAGTGGGGCTAAGAAATGTCTGAATTTTTCATATATGGCATTGTTTTATCTGTATGTCCACAGCAAAACTAGGAAAAATGCGCCCAAAGTTCACACTCATGCGTGATTACTCAATGGGCTCAGCAAGGCCCGAAAGTATAGCTCAATTTCATTGTCCTGTCCTGTTGGTTTTAATCTTGCGAGGTCTTAAAGTTGCATATCGTCTGAAAGGCACCTTTATTAGGAATGGAATGGCAAACAGAAAGTATGCCACAACCTTACTAAGGTCACAAAAATGCCCTTTACAAAAAACCCTTACAGACACCATATTGAAGGAATGGTATTCTAAATAAATGTAGGAAATCAACAATGTTCTCCACACTTTTCCACTCCGAAATATATCCTATCGAATTCGCCACTTTCTCCTGCACAAGACAACGCCTAGTTTGGCTGCCGAAACTTGCCTGAACACGGAATATTCACATTAGAGTATCTTAACACCCCACTTGAGGAGCGCTAGGGCAAACAGCACGATATAGGTATGTTCCGGACATAGGCGAATAATTTTACTTCGTGATTTACATGATGCATATTTTCTGAGACACATTCATTAGGAATAGGATGACAAGCGTAAATTATACATACCGTAACCTTATGAACCATCGCACTTGTGGGGAGGGGGAGGGGGAAAGGGTCGGATAAAACCCCATGGTTTTCCGCAAATTACTCGCGCAAAAAGCGGCCAATCGCGCCGAAACTTTCGGTGCCCTCGAGATCATCAATTTTACATCTAACCTTAAAATTTCATGACTCTGACCCAACTGACCTTTGACCTGTGGCATATTTCTCGAGACCATGTTTGGCCGGAATCGCGATTCGGCGTATGCCAGCTCACATTATCCGCGGTTTCCAGTCTTTTTGTGGTTTTAAACGTTCAAATATGAGAAATGATGTTGGTGCCATGCATAATGGTGGGTGTCAAGGTCACGTGAAGGTCAAGTCAAGGTCATTGACCTTTTGATGACCTTGTTTCTTTTTTTCAAGTTTCACTTGTTTCTAGGGTAGTTTTTGGTGCTGATTTCGATTTTAGCAGCCATTTGAATATTTACGAAGTAGTTCTGGTGCCTTCGTTCCATGTTACGAAGCTATCAGTAGTAGGTGACACTTCTATGTATGGCCGGCAGGACGCCTACTAGTTGATCTAACCTGACCTGACCCGACCTGGCCTAAATGCATAAAGACATCGTCTGTGATCAAAACTAACATGAAATTCGTGATCAGCACCCCAAAATACCCCGTAACACCCTAACTTTGCGAAGTTTCAAGAGGTCTCGATTTCCCAACTTTAGTTGGGTCATTAAACTGACTTGGAAAGTCAGCTTATGACCTTGGACTTTGAAATTGGATATATTCGGCCTCATTTCGTCATAGGCAGCACGCTTGACTTTTCCGCGAAGCTCTAGCTTGATCAGGGGCCAAACGGCTGAGCGGGGGGTCCAGATGAACCCCCTATACTCTGTTGATTATGCACATTTACAGGTAAAATTCTCACCAGGACACACCAGCCACCATCTGTGCACAATCTGGCTACAATTCTAATTTTGGTTTGCCCTCTACGAATAAATACGTGCTAGATCGGAAAAATCCCCACTGTGCACTGGGGACGCAGCTCTGACCAACGCGCCGTCACACTGGGGACGCAGCTCTGACTAACGCGCCGTCACGGGGGAGAGAACGGGAAGGGCGCGGCCTGTCTGTAACACTTGATGATCGTGTCTGCCGTGCCACAGACTGACCCTGTCCCCCTGGGTATTCGCAGTTCAGGGCCCTGTCCCACTGGCACTGATTGACCCCATTGCACTGTCTCACACGCCCCCTCTCCCGTCCCATTGGCCACTAACTGACCCTGTCCCACTGACTGACCCCCCCCCCCCCGTTCCGGCAGTTCCGGACGGTGCTGGTGCAGGTGCTGATGGCCGATATCGTGCTCTCCTACATCGCCGACCGCGTCGTCCGCTTCCTGTTCGGACAGGCGCGCCTGCGACGCGAGCTGCGCACCTGACTGCCGACCAGCTAGGTCCCAGTGGGTCACAGCCGGCCCCGGCGGCGGCAGTCTCCGCTCCCACTAGGTCACAGCCGGCCCCCGGCGGCGACCGGTCGGCGCGCCCGCCCGCCCGCGGCGCCAGTCCCCGCTGCCCGCCGAGCCGTCAGGGACCGTCCCTAGTGGGCTCGTGGTCAGCTGAGCCGGGCCGCCCGACTGCTGGCTGCTCCCGAACGGCTCGGGCAGTGCCGCGGGCGGCGGAGACCGTGATCGAGCCGGTGATCAATGTCCCTGGGCCCGCGGGGCCGTCCGCTCGGGGACCCGGGGGACTGGTTACTGCCCCCTCGGGGACCCAGGGGGACTGGGTACTGCCCCCTCGGGGACCCAGGGGGCCGGTACTACCCCCGTGGCGACCCAGGGGGCCGGTACTACCCCCGTGGGAACCCAGGGGGGCGGTACTACCCCCGTGGGGACCCAGAAGGCCGGGACTGTCCCCTCGGCCCTCGGGGACGGCGTGGCGTGTCCCCTCGGGGAGCCGCGGGTCCGCCATCGGGCAGGCCGCTGCCGCTATTGGTGTGGGCTATTTAGGTGTGTGGAATGGAATTGGAATTGGATGGGGTGTGGGTGAGCGGTGTTGATCGCGCTTCTGTGGGTTGCGACAGTCGCGGGCGGCGCTTGCCGCTGTCACTGCTGAGAGATTTGTGCACTGCAACGGGAGTATGTCGATGTCAATAATATAACCATCACTAAGTCAAACTGGCAGTCAACGCAAGGAAAGGCGAACAGTGGTGGATAGAAGTACGCTATTTGGGGTCGTCCGTGCGACGCTTACACTTCAACGTTGCGCTTTTAGGCCGGCCTTCTCTCGATTTTGCCGCTCCTCTAGGGATTCCGTGGACTCAATGGAGCTATCGTGGAGCTATAGCAAATATTCGTCAGCGCTGGGGGAGACAACCTTTCATAATTCATACACCGTTCGCCTTTTTGTGGCCTAGGGGCCAATTGAGAGAGCTATGCGTGAAGGACAGACCGCCCCCCCCCCCCCAACCAAAAACCGTGGCGGAGTCCTTGTCCCCTCCCATTCCCCACCCCCACCATGGCGAAGTTGGCTGTGAGTGCGGTCAGCCTCATAATGGGACGTCTTTCCTATCTCCCCCACCAGGGTGAATTTGGCCGAGTTACGAGTTACCCTGTGCAGTGTGCGCGGATAAAGGCATCATTTTTCCAATTCACTATCTGTGCAATAAGTGTACACTACCTATACTGCTTAGACACTCCCCAGTGATGAGTTGATAAGAGGCAAAACTAATACGTCAGGGAGGGGATCTAAGCGCGAAATGTGACATGCTGCTGTGATTTATTTTCCCGAAGCAAGTATCCTTGACAGACGAGGCTCGATAAGGCACGAGCCAATAAAAAATATAGTACGTCGCATTCGTGCAGATGACAATGGCTTGTTGTCAACATTGTGGGCTATTCGTGCCCACGTAATAATACGTATGTGTCCTACATATTGACATGTTATGACTTCCAGCGTTTATCCTGACGTTTACGTGACGTTTACGATTTGTGAAAAAGAATAAGTCTGAAAATTTCGTCATAATTTTACCCTTGGTGACCTGCAGTGACCCCAGCGATGACCCGACCTAAAAACGACCTTCAGAATTTTGAAGATCTTTAGCGAGCTATGTATTGTTTTTTCCGCTTCCTCTACTCGGTTTTCGAGATAATGGGTTAGGCCCTGGCCAAATACCCCCCCCCCCCTTCCCTACCATGGCGAAATTGGCTGAGACCCCCTTGCAACGGCCGATTTTATAATTTTCGTGGTAGGTATTTTAACATCAGGGTGTGTTTTACGCCTCAAATAACTACACCCTTTAGAAATAAGCGGTCATATTTGGATCCGATGGCGTTACATACTGGATCTATTCCGACTCCTTGAATACGGTATTCGGTAATATCAATATGTTCCGACTCGGAAGCGACAGGGTGGCCGGTGGTGCCGTTGGAATCAAAGTCGCTGAGTGGCCCCATCTGGGCCGGCTGAGGTCACGTCGGCTCCGTCAGCCCCCCCCCCCCCCTCCCCCCGGAGCGCCGGGGGCGGGCGGTGCAGCTGCTGACTGCTCGCCGGCCGCCGCTCTGCCACTTCCCGCCTCGTTCAGGCACGTGGGTGCACACTGCGCGCGCCGGCGCCGGCAGTCGGGGGCGGCACGGGCGCGCGGCTCCAGTGGCGACTCGGGAGCGGCGTGGCGTGGGGTGGGGTGGTGCAGCCGTGCCGTGGTGGCTGGAGCGAGTGGCGGTGATGTTCTGAGAGGCTGAGCTGACTCAGTGACGGAGGAACCCACGACTGGTGAGTACTACAGCTGGCCTGCATCGGCACGGCGCCCGCTGAACGTTTACAGAACCAGTAGGTAATCAGCACATTTTTTTTCTTCGGAAATAGCGAGTACGCTGAAGTATTGCATTCAATTCTCCCCCAGGAGTTATCCTAATAGGTAATAGGTATATTCGGACACAACCTGTGGTTTGCCGAAATTATGTCATTCGTAGACGATCAACTCGAATCGGTTTTCTGTAATTCTGAATATTTTCCGGCATTAAAAAACTGCTCAATATTGATGGGTACCGATATGACCTGACCTGTGACGTCGGTGACTGACCTAAGGAGTAACTTTTCGTGGCCCCCTCCCCTCCGGCCTCCGCGCCGGACCCAAGGCCCTCTGACAGCACCAATTAGGTACAATTCCCTCCGTGGGAAGGGCGTGGCAGCGGAGTAGATGGGGGCAGGAGGTGACTGGGTCTATGTCTCAATTCCTATACACACCGACCGTGAAACTGCACATTGGCCAAACATCAGCCCTGAGCGGGGGATGCGACTCAGCCGGACTCGGGGACGAACGCCATCGCGTCCGATCGCGTCTGGTGTGGCACCATTTCCGCTCATCAGCTGCAGAAATCGCCCACGCACATTGAACGTATGCAACATTTTGACAGTCAGGTCACATGAACAGCAACCGTCAGTCCGCCCAGGCACGACTTGAGAACAAATGCACTACTGGATAAAGTGCAATAGTGCTCCTCGGCACAGAGTATAACCCTGACGTCCGTATAGGTTTCCGGGGTACCGTAAAGTGGGGCTATTTGAAACGGATTTTACAGTTTTTGGCCTCTCCCTTTAAGACGGCTCATATTTCTTATAGCATGTAAATTGCAAAAATGTAGTTCTCTGTGAGCTCTTTCATATAGGTGTATTTTGGTTCAGCTAGTAATAATGACTGAGGTTATTTTTTATGTTAAAGCCTGTCTCAAATAGCCCCATAGGGTGGGGCTATTTGAGACAGTTTTAGTTGCAAGGAAATTAAAGAAAATCGGTCACGCTAGAGATAATTTTTTAAACGCCATGCATTTGGAAATTGAACTTTGATTATTTTGGCAAAAATTGTTTTTTTTTTCAAAGACTGTTATATGACCTTTATATTCAATCTTTTCCTTTTTCGTAGGACACTTCATTTCGGTAGGGTATAAAATTGCATCACTATATGCTAAGGCTATCATAATATGATGTGACCCATAGCTTTCAAACTGACAGGATGATCATCAAGGACTATTTTAAAGTCATCGACAGTAAAATTTTGAAAGTAAGTTTTTGTATATAGCCCCGGTGACGTGAAAACAGATATACCGAAAGTCGGTGGGGCTATTTGAGACAGTCTCGCTACCTTATGAAGCACACTGTAATGAATCAAACAAGGCAAAAGGTTTCCCAAAACATTTGAGTGAATGGTCTGCATGATTGTTTGTTCCATTGTACATCTCCATGCGAAGAAATAACAGAAAAATGTTAAACGGTTTTGATTTTATGCCGATTTTCCTCGATCGCTGCATGCCGTATCAATTGGCCGGTTACCCTATCACATCAAGTACTTGGATAGGCTCACCTAACAGTACGTTCATGTGTTAAGTAACATTCGATGGTGTTTTTTGGTCAACCAAGGTAGACATATGTTGATTGTCGAATGAGTCAGTGACTGATGAAGCACATTTTAAGCACATATTCATCAGAATTACTAGTTTGGTCACCAGCTAAAGGGTTAATATGTTACACTACGAACATGTAAATATTGCTTGCTGCTAAAAGTACCTACCATGAACCCACTGCACGTTTATGACCACGACCGATTCACCGGTGTTGCTTATGTCGAACGTTCGATGCACTTCAGGTAGATGGCGGTAAGTCTTCTCGGGTGTATCGCATCACCGTTATCATCAGCTATTTGGCATATCCGTTGAGGTTTGACCAGGTGGGCATCATCGGGATTCTGAGACAATGGGTTACGCAATCGGCAGTACCGTTAACAATATATAATATTTTCATGAAAAATGTGCTTAACCTATAAGCAAAAAGGTAGTAGCGATAGATACAGTGGCGAAGCTGTTAAAACTTCAACTTTTTTAAGCTGCAGGTAGGGGTCCTTTTCGAGCAACTTAAATTGTGCGTTTTTCTGTATTTCGTATTTTATTGCAAATTTCTTTCAGAACTTTTCGAAATTTTCAAAAAGGTTATTCAGAGCATTCATTGTTCAATTCCACATCAGCTTAAGCAAAAATGACGAAAAAGCATCAAACGGTTTTCATTTTACAGCGATTTTACTATACCATTACCTTACTGTCTCAAATAGCCCCACTGTCTCAAATAGCCCCACTTTACGGTATATAGGGCCTTGGGTTTCCGGAAGGCGGATGATGTCGCATGGCCCTATTCACCGCACTCTGCCCGTATCGGGTCAGGCCTCAGTCACAGTATCGGCCATCTCTGCCGACAGTCTTTAATGGGGTGTTCGGTGCCGTCGGTCCTCTGCCAGTGTCCATGCACCGTTGTCGGTGTCCGGAGGAAGCTGAGGGCGGCCCACCCCCGGCAGCCCACATCTCGCTGTATGTCGCCGCCTGACAGAGGCGGTGCGTGCGTCTGACCGGTGGCATGGTGCCGTGCATTCCCCACGAGCCACTGAGTCCCTTCAGGTGTCAACTTCTATCTGCTGTGGTGTAGGGTGGCCTGCTCCATCCTCACTGACCTGGCCTCTTCCTCCCCTCCTCTCTCTCTCTCTCGCTCTCGCTCTCGCTCGCACCGCTCTGTGCCGTTTGTTTCGGCCGGCTGGCCGCCGGTTCACACCAGTCGACTGGTGTGTGGCAGTCGTTCAGTCAGGCAGGGTTTCACGGCTGGCTGGCGGGCCGGGCCGCCCGGCAGCACCGCAGGACACGCCTGGCCGACTGCCGGACCTGACTGCAGCTCCCCCACAGCTGCCGGAGCCGACTGCAACTCCCCCAGGTCCACAGCTGCCGGAGCCGACTGCAACTCCCCCAGGTCCACAGCTGCCGGAGCTGACTGCAGCTCTCCCAGGTCCACAGCTGCCGGAGCTGACTGCAGCTCTCCCACAGCTGCCGGAGCTGACTGCAGCTCTCCCACAGCTGCCGGACCTGACTGCAGCTCCCCCACAGCTGCCGGAGCCGACTGCAACTCCCCCAGGTCCACAGCTGCCGGAGCCGACTGCAACTCCCCCAGGTCCACAGCTGCCGGAGCTGACTGCAGCTCCCCACAGCTGCCGGAGCTGACTGCAGCTCTCCACAGCTGCCGCAGCTGACTGCACCTCTGCCACAGCTGCCACAGCTGCTGGTCGTGGAGCCAGCGGTGCCGCCGGCTCCCCTCCCACGCCGACGTCGGCAGTCTGCGCCAGGCTGAGTCGGCTCATGGGG